ATGGAGGCTCGTCTGAAAGAAGATATTCTGAGAGAAGCTAAGCGATATGAGGGTGCGATAATGGTCATTCACGAAACCAAGGATGGTCAGATTTTTGACTTATGGGAACAGGTGGATGCTGATTCTGTTCAAACACCCCTTGAGGTCTACAAATGTTTAGAGGCTGATGGTTTTCCGATTAAGTATGCGCGTGTACCTATAACCGATGGTAAAGCGCCCAAAAGCTCAGACTTTGACACATTGACATCGAATATTGCTTCTGCTTCCAAAGACACTGCTTTTGTCTTCAATTGCCAGGTGGGTATTTCGATATAATAAAGTATTCCTCTAGAAATTTTCTGTTCGACTGACAACATTTTCTTTTTGCATTTCGAAATTCACAGATGGGGAGAGGTAGAACAACCACTGGGACTGTCATTGCCTGTCTAGTAAAGCTCCGCATCAATTATGGGAGACCTATTAAAGTTCTGTATGATGTTCTGACCCATGAAATTGTGGACGAAGATTCCTCAAGTGGTGGTGAAGAAACTGGAAGTAATAACGCTGAAACAAGACCTCGTAATTCTGAACGAAGAACCGAGGACGAACATGGCCGTACTTTTGGCATGGACGACATTCTTCTGCTCTGGAAAATCACTAGATTATTCGATAATGGAGTTGAATCTCGTGAGGCGTTAGATGCTGTGATTGATAGATGTTCTGCGTTGCAAAATATTCGTGAAGCTGTTCTACAATACAGGAAGGTTTTCAACCAACAACATGTTGAGCCAAGAGTAAGAAGTGCTGCACTGAAACGTGGCGCTGAATACTTAGAGAGATACTTCCGGTTGATTGCCTTTGCAGCATATCTTGGAAGCGAAACTCTTGACGAATTCTTTGTGAAAGGAGAGTCTAAGATGACTTTCAAAAATTGGTTGCATCAGAGACCTGAGGTGCAAGCGATGAAGTGGAGCATAAGGCTAAGGCCTGGGCGATTTTTTACCATTCCTGTGAGTCATTATTCAGGCTGTAAAACTGTAAATGTTTTCTTAATTTTGCACATTACAACTTTGAATATTTTCCACGCAGGAGGAATTGCGGGCACAACACGAATTGCAACACGGGGATGCAGTCATGGAGTCAATTGTCAACGAACGGAGTGGTTCTGTCTTGGGTAATGGTTCTATACTTAAAATGTACTTTTTCCCTGGGCAAAGAACTTCAAGTCGTATGCAGATTAATGGTGCACCTCACGTATACAAGGTATGGTTCAAAGAAATGTGATTCTTTATAACATGATAAAATCCTTCGCCGTGACATAACCGCCTAATATTAACCGGCAAAACATTCATTTCAGGTCGATAGATATCCTGTGTATAGCATGGCAACTCCCACAATTTCCGGAGCTAAAAAGATGCTCGCTTATTTAGGCGCCAAACGAAAGGAAGAAGGTGGGGATTCAAGAGAAAGAATAGTAGTAACAGACTTAAGAGAAGAGGCAGTTGTTTACATCAATGGAACTCCATTTGTCTTGAGAGAATTGAGTAAACCTGTTGATACCCTTAAGCATGTGGGAATAACGGGGGCAGTGGTATGCCTCAGATCACACCTTTAAGTATAACGCGAGTTAAAAATGCGGTTTTGTTGACTTTTATCTTCAATGCAGGTAGAAAGCATAGAAACACGGTTAAAAGAAGATATATTGTCTGAGGTTAGAGAAACTGGAGGTCGAATGTTATTGCATCGTGAAGAATATAGCCCAGCATCAAATCAGTCTCGGGTTATAGGATATTGGGAGAATATTCAACCAGAAAATGTGAAGACACCTGCAGAAGTATATGCTGCTCTGAAAAATGAAAATTACAACATATCTTACCGGAGAATACCATTAACCAGAGAAAGAGACGCATTAGCTTCCGATGTAGATGCAATCCAGTATTGTAAAGACGAGTAAGTATCAGTCATCTGTTTCTTTTTTTTCGTTTTATATCTTTACTAAACCTGTTCCGTTTTAACTAATGGACACATTTTTCAACAGTTCTGCTGGGAGTTACTTGTTTGTATCGCACACCGGTTTTGGAGGGGTTTCTTATGCAATGGCCATTACTTGTCTCCTACTTCAACGTGGGCAGAACTTTACAGCTACACCAAGCACAGATCCTTCTAGCTTAGAAGAAGATGATTTGCCTTCAGAGGCATGTGATGAAGAAGCCTTGAGTATGGGAGATTACCGCGACATACTGAGTCTCATAAGAGTGCTTTCTCATGGTCCTCAAAGCAAATCAGACGTAGATGGAATAATCGAACTGTATGTAGAATCAAATCAATCAAAATCTGACAATATTTTCCACTTTTAATAAACTACATAGCTCATGACTTGGTTGTCTTGTTATAGGTGTGCTGGTGCAGGACATTTGAGAGAAGACATTGTTTACTACACCAAAGAACTCAAGAAGCTTCCTAATACAAAAGATGAAAATCGTTCATACATGATGGACATGGGTGTTAAAGCCTTGAGGTTAGTCACATAACTTCAGCCCGGTTTTATCGAACCGAGCGAAACCAATCTGAAAGCTGAATCGGTTCGTTTCAGTTTCTTTCCATGTCCAAACAAATAATTTGTTTATATATGTTGGTTTATTGTATGAACAGGCGCTACTTTTATCTGATAACATTCAGATCATACCTCTATTGCACGTCGCCGGAAGAAATGAAATTCTTGGATTGGATGAGGTCGCGGCCGGAACTTGGACATCTTTGTCATAACCTCAGGATAGACAAATGATAAGTGTGTTTTTGAGTTTCAATTTTCAGGTTCATACATACGTTACATATATATATAAAATGTAGGAGGCAAGTTATGTTGTTTGGTTTTACAGCTTTAGTGTATAAAAAGAAGTTGTACAGCTTTCTCTCCTGTGTTTGCATTGTAGAGAGAGATCTCTGTCTATAGGTTTGCTTAAAAGTTAATACCCTCACACCGGATTCAGCAGGTTTACTCTGATGATCAATAGGCTTTTTTTATTTTCCCTTTATTAAAAAATAAAATAAAATTTAAAAAATATATATATCAACGCACTGTATAAAAAAATCTCAAATTTTTAGCCTTTCTTCGGAGCAAGCTTCGATTTGATTTTTTCGACTTCTTTCGTCCCGATCTGAAACGCCGTCGTTAAGACGTGATCTGGAATCGCCGGATTCGCTGTGAAAAGCGTGGCGGCGATCGACTGTGTTCCCGGCAATTGACTGTTGAACGCCGAGATCACCGACGCTGGTTTCGCTTTGTCGTTGTTCTTTTGGTAATGAACCAATCCTCTCGGGAACACGAAAACCTCTCCTTTCTTCACCGTCTTAGCGAAGAGTTTGTTCGCCGTCGTGATGAACCCGACGTCAAGCTCGCCTTCCAACACGAAGATGACTTCGGTGGCGCGTGGGTGCGTGTGCGGCGGGTTTAAACCTCCAGGCGCGTAGTCGATACGCGCGAGTGAGACTCCGAGCGTGTTGAGCCCTGCGATCTTCTCTACGTTCGCTCCCGTGACGGCGGATCCGACTGTGTTGTTAACCACGGCGGGTTTGCCGATTCCGGCGAAGAAGAAATCTGAGGCGGTGATGTTTGATTCCGGCTTACATGTGAACCCATTCACTTTTAGTCCTAGAAATCGAATTTAATTTCTTCATACGCATTAGCATTGGTCACAACAACAACAAAAGCAAAGTTTAGGTATGATATACAGTAGTAGATAAGTAGAAATTTGACAAAACATTCGTTTTTTCATTTAGATCCCAAAAATAATTAATACATCCCAAAACGAATATTTGAAATTCCATATCAGTTAGAAACCAAGCAAGTCCCTAAGTATTAAAACTTGAAATTCCAGATCGTAAGCAAGAGCAACCACAGTGATCTGCAACGCATAAATATAGTTAGTACCTGAAGTGCGATCTGCAACGCATAGATCTTGAAGCGTGTCAGGATCGTAAGCAAGAGCAACCACAGTGAGAGATAACAAAGCAAAGAAGAACACATAACATCTCGAGCCCATGATTTGATAAATGTACTGTAGAAGAGAGAGACAGAGATATATATAAATGCCTGAGATTTGAAAGTCTTGTTTGCAACTGTGGTTTCATTATTGTGACGGTTGGATCATTATTTATATACTTGAATTTCGTTGAGGAAAATTATGCAAAGCTAAACTAACTTAAACGCAAAGCAAAATTGGAGGAGAGATGTGATGTCGTTTTCTTACAGATGTGTACATATGAATGTTTTAGTTTAACTTTTAAGGTTTTGTTTTCGTTTTCTGGAATTGTAGGTTAAACCGGATTAGTTTTTTTATTCATTTTCCAGTTTTAGTTTTCTAAAAATTGTTGGCAAATCCGGTTTAATTCGATTAAATTTGGTTAAATTCGGTTGTAGCAGCAATGCAAAACTGGGCTTTTGAATGATGGGCTACGGTTTTTCCTGAAATGATACACGAAGTTACTAAATTATCCTAAGCAGTGATGATCCTTGGCAAGGGGTAGAATCGAAATTAGCGAACCACCTGATTTATGCTTTTAGGGAGACTTAAACCCTAGTTTTCTGTCATCCGCGCGGCGATTAAAAACCAACATACATTGTGGGCAACTAATCGTCACTCTCCTTCAAAACGGAGGGAGTACTAGATTTAGTCCTCTAGTTTAACTATCTCTTTTTTGTTATTTTCTCTGCTTTATTTCGGTGTTAACGTCGGAGTTTGCTCTTCTTGAAATGTAACACACTAAAACAAGGCGTGAGGGAAAAATAGGTTTAGAGTTAAGTCAAGGGTTAGCCATATGTCAAGATTTGCTGCTACCTTGGACGTGAAGTTTGTTGGCAGTGTTAAATATGTTGTGGTGGACCGTCGTCAAGTGTACATCTCCCGATACAAATCGTTAATTCTCTCTGGATCTTAACCTATTTCTCCGCTCGCTCTTGTTGGGCTAGTCTTGGAGTAGATTTCAAATAAGGCCCAGTATGAGTATATACGGTCGTGATCATTCCGGCGTAAGTTAGCGTGAGATGATGATTGTTGTTATCATCAATCCATCCACACTCTCACAGTAGCTTAAAAACAAGGCTCGACGCAGTTCCATCTCTTCTTATCTGCAACTTGAGACTCTTGTCGAAAGCAAAACCCAAAGTCTTCTCTCTCTTCAGTCTTCACTTTACTTTACAGCATCAATCAATCACTCAATGGCTTCTTCGTCTTCAATGCAGATGGTTCACGCTTCCATTTCTCAGGTTCCCAACTTAAAATCCTACGTTTTGGGAGTTTTTTTTTCTCGGTTTTCGTCGAGAATCAAGTCTGTTTTGAATTACTGGGTTTTTTAGTCTTTGTCATTCGAATTATGCTCTTATTGTGGGCTTTTGGAATTCGTTGTTTGGTTTCTCTGTAGATTGGTGCTAAGTCACAGTTAGTTTCCGCGAATCTTACCTCTCAATCAGTTTGCTTCGGAGCTCGTTCCTCTGGAATCTCCTTATGTTCGAGATCTCGCTATGCTACAAGCTTCCCGCTTAAGCAATTTTCCGGAGCTTATGCGACCACCAAGCACCAGAGAACGGCTTGTGTCAAATCAATGGCGGCTGTAAGATTCATAAAAGCCCTAAGTTTTTTGTCACAATTTACACATGTCTTGTTGCTTGTGGATTTGTGTTGATTGTTCAACTTGTTTGTTTGTTAATAGGAGGAGGAAGAAGAAGTAATGGAACCTCAAGCTAAAGTGACAAACAAGGTTTACTTTGATGTGGAAATTGGAGGTGAAGTAGCTGGAAGAATTGTGATGGGTCTCTTTGGTGAAGTTGTGCCTAAAACCGTCGAAAACTTCCGTGTCTTGTGTACCGGTTAGTAATTGTTAATCTTTAAAGTTTGCAACTTTAAAGACCATCAAACAAAACCGTTTAGATTAAAGGAGATTGGTTTCTTCAGGTGAGAAAAAATACGGGTACAAGGGTTCTTCGTTTCATCGTATCATTAAGGATTTCATGATCCAAGGAGGTGATTTCACCGAGGGAAATGTAAGTTTTTTTTCCCCGAGAACAGGTAAGATTGTTTGTTATTTGGTATTTCTTTAAACCGTCCTTTTTGATATGGCCTCTCAGGGTACTGGAGGTATTAGTATTTACGGTGCCAAGTTCGAAGATGAAAACTTTACCCGTGAGTATTACTAGCAAAGAAAAATTCTAGTGTTTTTACTTCTTTGATGTATTGTTCAATCCTTTTGATTTCCTGTTTTCCGCATTTGCAGTGAAGCATACTGGACCTGGAATCTTGAGCATGGCAAACGCTGGTCCTAATACTAATGGAAGCCAATTTTTCATTTGCACCATCAAGGTATAATAAGATTCACAACTCTTCATATCATCTATAAACTTATAGATATTTTATATGCTTGCCTTTGCATTTTGATTCAGATTTGTTCACAAACTTTTCTTCTCTGTTTGGTTCTTTGTGCAGACTCCATGGTTAGATAACAAGCATGTTGTCTTTGGACAAGTAATTGAAGGAATGAAGCTTGTGAGGAGACTTGAATCTCAGGAGACACGCGCGATGGATGTTCCCAAGAAAGGTTGCAGAATCTATGCATGTGGAGAGCTCCCAATGGAAGCTTGAAAACCACCATTAACCGGTGCATTTGTCATTGCCAACTTTGTTCTGTTTTTTTTTTGCTTGCTTTTATGAACTATTGAGGAATCCAAACCATCGAAAAGCCAAAGAGTTTCAACTTCTGGTCTTTTGTTTCTTTATTTTGGATACATGAGTTTAAAAGTACAATTTAAGGTTCTCTTATAAGAAACTCTCTTTTAAGCATGAACCATAGTTGCAACCGCTACTTGCTGAACAATTGCCTCGAGCTTCTCATCTTTGTTGTCTTCCCATAAATCAGGTATTGCTTCCTTTATGTTATGAATGCTGCTTGGTGCATAGTCTGCACCTGGAACTAGCACCGAGTCCCCCACGAACACGGTTTTTAGCCCCGTTGCTTTAGCACTAGCTATGTTACGGATACTGTCATCGAAGAACATCTGAAACGATAAAAGATTCAGACTTTGAGTTCACATGTCTGAAAACTGTGATAAGATTCTCGTGACTTTTCTTTACCGTTTTGCGTGGATCGACGATGTCTGCAATGCGAATGGCGGCTTCAAAGGCTTCGACGGAGGGTTTGCAGAGGATTTGACTGTTTTGATTAGAAGAATTCGGGTTTAGTGTTTCGAAGCAAATGATTCCTTCGAAGCAGTCCTCTAGACCCAATCTGTTAAGTGCTCGTGTCGCGTGAGCTTTGTCTGCAATAGTAAATATCTGATGACGGAAAACAAAAAAACAGAGGATGAGAAACATGAATGAATCAATGGATAATTCCGAGTGAAAAAAAGAAACTTGGAGGAAACTTACGATTTTACGGTGAGGCATAGAGAGAAGAAGGTTACGGAGAATCGGATCAGGCTTTAGTTTCTCGTACGGAAGTCTTCCATGGATATATTCATGGAACTCATCGTTGTCGAATTCATAGCCCATAACCTGCAAATACGGTTCTGTTTTGGTTTATTCCGGTTTTGACTCGATCTGGTTCGAGTAAAATGTTCCAAGATTTGTGAAATGGATGAGAAATCACATACCTTGAGACCAGCCATGGTGGTTCCATATTCCTTGTAAAGATCAAGACACATCTTTGGAACTTCACTCTCTTCGATTCCGAGTTGATTAAGCATGAACTCTGCAAATAAGAATGATATAACAAAAAGTTAATTCGGTAATCTATTATGAATTTATCCAAAATTTCAATCATCTTGAAACGTTAGTCTATTTTCCTTGGATGTTCTTTCGACAAGCTAAGTTGATTCCGATGCTCAAAGGGTATAGAGTGTCGTCCATATCTGCAACAACAACAACAAAGCAGAGCTTTATTTATTTTTTCAGAAATAGCATAGAGAAAAGAAAAAATGTTGAAGATGATGTGTTTATGTATGTATTACCAAAGAACAAACACTCGTACTTAGCTCCAAATTCATCCATCCTCAATCTAGTGAAGAAGAAAAAGAGTTAGCGAGATATTACTTCGTGAAAGGTGTGTGTGTGTGTGTGAGAGAGAGAGCGCGCTTATGATCAATGTGAAGAAATTGGCTGTATTTATAAATCAATTTCAGAAGAAGAAAAAAAACCGAATTTTTCTTTAAGAGTTAGGAGTTAGGACACATAGAATATTTGGTTATCTTGATGTTGTTATGTTTTCTTGCAATATCATAATAATAAACTATCATTAGTATTAGAGATATTATATATGTATTATAAGTTGCATAATATTAAATAGTTGATAAACGTTGATGACACGAGTTATCAAGTGGACTCAATACATATATGTGTATATGGAATATCCTACAAATATATAATTGTAAAAACTTGTCAATCTATAATGATATATATACAGTAACGTTTAATAAATTTTTGGGATCCCTTATACATTTTTAGGTTTGTCTCTAATTTTCTGTATACATTGCCTTGTGATTCTTTTTCTTTGTTGCTAAAATACTTTGGCTTGTATTAATATATTATACATATGAAATTATTAAAGAAAGCATGACTGTTGATGGTGACTTGGTGACTATGATAATGATCCACCATATCCTTTATTGTTGCGGGCAATAAGATGAGGTGTTTAGCATATACTATTATTTGATCATTTCATATGATTTTCAGTAGTCATTTCCCACTTTCCGTGACCTGCCATTTTCATTTTCCATAAGCAATATTCAGCGAACGAATTGTAAAATTAAAGGCGAGTAGTATCACATAAAAAAAAAACATGAATGAGCAGTAAAATAGTCTGAAATATCGAGTGTAGACAGAACAAAAAGAGTCAAGTTCCATGCAGCATTTTGTCAAAAAAAAAAAGTACCATGCAGGATGCAGCACAAAATGTTTGATATATCATGAAAAACATGTTAAAACTGCATTTTCAATATTAATAAAATTTATAGATCTTCAACAATTTACGTAATTATTTTTGAATTCATTCGTCTTTATACTGACTAAGATACAAATAGACCTGTGAACAAAAAAATTACAAAAAGACGACAGCAGAAGTAGATAATAGAATACAACATCATACAGTTTAGAACAAAATGTAATTCATGTTTTCCAATATAAAAATGAAAATGAATCAGATCTGCATATAGTAGTTAATATACCACGAATAAATGGTAAGCTGATTCAGAGAGCACGTAAATTAAATAATATGATAATTGAAGATATACAAGCTTTAAGCTAAATGAAAATTCTTATAACGACAAGGATTATGTATTGCGTTCTCTTATGTTGGATTCTAATTTCTTTGCTGATACGGTAATTAAGTGTCATCGTATAATCTGTAAAGCTAACGTAATTATTTCAATTGAACATTTTAGTGAAAGTTATAAGTGCGCATTATTCCAGTATCTATATTTTTTCTAAAAACTCTGTATATTGAACAATATATATATGTAGCGTTACATATATATATATATATATATTATATGGTAATGGAATATAAACTCATAGTCATGGAAATATGGAATGGATCAACGATTTGTTTGAGTAGAAACTACGAGATAAAATTTGAATTATTTTTTGTAAAATAGAAAATTGAAAGTTTTAATTGTAGAGGAGAAGGAAAACGTGAAAATCCAACATCAAGAAAATTAAATAAAATACAAAACCTAATCCTTAAAAAAAAAATACAAAAACTTGTCAGTAATTACAAATGATTTGTTTTTATATTTTTGTCGTAAATGATTTGTTTTTATATTAAGTTGAAATTGTTTTCGAACTTTTTTTAACAGACATAAAGATAAATAATTGATGTAGACAATTACGTTAGTAACTAACAAATAGGAACCCCTCTTGCAAAAAAAAAAAAAAAAAAAAAAAAAACTAACAAATAGGAAAAACATTGATTTATTTCTTGTTTTCCTCAACGAATGTAGCCTTTTGGAAGAACCGAAAGATTTGCATGGCCGAGCGTGTTTCTCAGGTCCGGAGCGGGGACCACTGAAGTGTATGAGTCACAAAGAGGTGTCCAGGTCAGAACAAACTATAGGAAGAAAGAAATCTAGCATACGTTATTATTTAGAGAAAATTACTTTGAGATTAATAGAAACTAGACTACGCCAAAAGAGGAGGAACATTTAGCATACACATGCATGCTCCGATGCACCTAGCATCATATTATAGGGATCTTTTTTTTCTATTATTATAGGAAATTAGGGATTATGTTTTCTACAAAAATCAAAACCACTTAAAATTTTCTTTCCATTTTGGTAAATGCTAACAACAGCATTCTTTCCCTTCTTTTTATTTCTCTTAAATATTTGTGAATCAAATTAACGGGAAATGGATTTTCTGCTATCAATAATTTTATTAATTTCATCTATAAACAGACTTAAAAATTGAAGTAAACAAAATCACAAACAACAGTATCCTGTTTTTAAATCCATATAATAGCTAAAAAAAATATGATTTAGTTCTGGGATTAGACAGTTTAGTGTCCATCATTAAATCTAAATGAATTAAATGCAAAATCTGCAAGCAAAAAAAGTCCAGACAATGGTATCAGAGTTTTCCAAATAAATGAATCATTCCGTAATGATGAAATATATACAGCCAGGATATTATGCAATTGGATTTAGACACTAATATGGAGTAGTATTTTTATCGTGATAGAACATAATTATTACAAAATCGAAGGAGCTTGAGAGAATTTATTTTCTAAAAAGCTTCGTCAGCTTTCCCCTTTTCTTTATTTTTTTCAAAATCAATTTTTTTTTTTGTCTTCATGCAGTGAGTGATACGAATAAGAAATCGAAATCAATCTTTAATCCAAATTTTGGCGCTCGATTCGTCGTCTTTGCTGCATTCCCCGGAGCTCCGGAACTTGGCTTGTTGCGTCGGCTGAGGAGAATGAGGAGCGTATTGTTGTTGATTGCGGTGGCTGTGTGCTCGCAATGTTCAGTCGCGGCGGTGGTTCGGAGTGGATCTAGCGATGGATTTGGGGAACGAAGAGATACCGAGACTGCGATATCGCTACTGGAGAATGAATTGATGGCGTCGTCGCCGTCTGAGCTTACCATGGTGCCTCTCACCTTGATTCAGGGAGCTGACGCCAAAGGAGCTGGTACACACTCTCTCACTTTCCATCTCTTTCATTGTTCTTATTTGAGATTTCAGGAAATGCTTGAGGGGTGTTTCCACTATCACACTGACCTTTGATGTTCACACTTCGGTCTCGATTTTGGCTCTCTTAATTGGAATTTGAAATTATGGAGTCTGATTTTGCTTGTTGCTAGATTTTCGTTCTCCTATCTTCTTCCTTGCATCGATTATGTATCGCTTCTTCCCTTGCATCGATTGAGTTTCAGTATGCCTGGGCTCGTACTTTCAATTTTTTGTTCCTCCTCTATTACCTGCAAAACAAAAAAATTGCTTAACCAATTGTTTAATTTGTTGCGTAAGAATGTAGAAAACATCTGGCTTCGAATTTGTGTTTTATGATTCATCAAATAGTTCTTATTGATGAAGAAGATTTGGTCGAACTCAGTCTCTTCACTGGAGTACTTGAATGTTTTTGATGATAAATAGTGTTTATTTAATTCTCAATTGCTGCAGTCTGCCTAGATGGGACACTACCTGGTTATCATCTAGATCGTGGTTTTGGTTCAGGTGCTAACAGTTGGCTTATCCAGCTTGAGGTATGTGTATTTACAGCTTATGTAATCTTGACTTTTTTGCTGGTTTAATAGTTTAGAATGGAAGTTTCTGCTACTGAGTGCTGACTTAGAAAATAGATATATCAGTTTTTGACTCAATGGCTGGTTGTAGGGTGGAGGATGGTGTAATAACCGTAGGACCTGTGTGTATCGCAAAACAAGTCGCCGTGGTTCCTCTAATTTCATGGAAAAAGCCTTGGCATTCACTGGAATATTGAGCAATAAATCTCAAGAGAATCCTGGTTTGTCCTCAATATCATCATGAGTTTTGTGCATGTGGTTATCCAGTAGCTGTATCGATTCTGTGTTTCTGTTTGTGGTTTGCAGACTTTTATAATTGGAACAGGATCAAGTTGCGCTACTGCGATGGTGCGTCTTTCGCGGGCGATAGTCAGGACGAGGTTAGTCAAAGACAATAGTGCATTGAGGTTCATTATCTATGATTTTACTGGATTCTTTCTACCGTGCCCTGATTTTGTCTTACAATTTGCTACAATGGCTTGTTTCTAGAGTTCGCAAATTTTCTATCGAGGACAACGAATTTGGCATGCGGCTATGGAAGAATTCCTGTCTTTAGGCATGCAGCAAGCAGACCAGGTCACTACTACATTTCATTGGGCCTATCATTTTACTGGAATTTGTGGCAACTGGTTTATATTCTGTATATCTTCTTATCTAATCTCTTGCAAGTGAATTTTCATCACAGGCTCTGCTTTCTGGATGCTCAGCCGGAGGATTAGCATCAATCTTGCACTGTGATGAGTTCAGGGAACTGTTACCTAGTTCTACGAAAGTAAAGTGCTTAAGTGATGCTGGAATGTTTCTGGACGCGTAAATCTCTTGAACTTGGCTTTTCTGTTAGGAGAAGTATTTTTTTCTATACAAAGATATTCAAACTTGAAATGTTCTGATGGAAAATGCAGAGTGGATGTCTCTGGGGGCCGCTCGCTTAGGAATATGTTCCAAGGTGTTGTTACAGTGCAGGTAATCTCTGATTCAAAGTTTTTAAATTTGAAACGAGCACCTAATGTAAGTGCATACAACTTAACATTATCCTATGCTTATTGCAACTCACTTAATACTTTTCTCTCTTAATCTATAGAACCTCCAAAAAGACTTGTCCAGTTCTTGTACGAACCATTTGGATCCTACTTCGGTACATCTCTTTCACTTTATAAATTATCACTGCTTCCTTAGCAATGTTTCCAGTAGACAAGGCTTGAGAGAATCTTTTTGACGTTTTCCCTTTTGTGCCCTTTCTCTTTTCATCAGTGCTTCTTTCCCCAGAACTTGATTTCAGACATCAAAACCCCAATGTTTCTTCTCAACACAGCATATGACTCCTGGCAGGTAATAATCATGTCGTTCTTTCATCTTGTGCATTGCTTCGTCCACCCTCAGTGTTTGAATCTTGAAAGAACAATAATATGAAATGTCTCTATCAGATCCAAGAGAGCTTAGCTCCTCGAACTGCTGACCCAGGCGGCATCTGGAAGGCATGCAAATCTGATCACTCGCAGTGTAATTCATCACAGATCCAATTCTTCCAAGGTGATATTTCTAATTCAAGTTTATTCGTTACCGTCACTCTCTCTACTCTATGCGTAGCCTGCACCATGTTGATGGTTTCCAATTCCTTTTTTTTTCTTACATCAAACAGAATTCGGGAATCAAATGGTGAATGCCCTAGATTCATTCTCTACATCCGACCAGAACGGTATTTTCATAAACTCTTGTTTCGCGCATTGTCAGTCTGAAAGACAGGACACTTGGTTTGCGCAAGATTCTCCCCAAATAGACGGAAAGGTAACGTCACCTCTCCAAAAACAGTTCATATGGTTTATATCTCAGTGTAGAAATCAAAAAGTTTGTTTAACTCTGCTCATAATTGTCTTTTCAACAGAGAGTAGCAGAGTCTGTAGGTGACTGGTACTTCGATCGAGCACAAGATGTCAAAGTCATTGACTGTCCTTACCCATGCGACACAACATGTCACAATCTGATTTTCGAGTGAGTAAAACTTTAAAACCCTATCTCTCTGATTCTTTCAGACCTATACAATTCTTGCTTGAAAAATGCTTCCTTATTTATTCTACACTCCAAATCTGTAACATTCGTGAATCTCAAAAGAGAAGCCGAATTAGATCATAATTTTTTATTTGTGTAACTTCATTTTCGATTGGAATAAGCGTGCGTTCGATGTTTTTTTTCTTTTCTTTATCGATTTTGTTTTTCATATATATCCCTTGTGCAGTGTTAACCTAACAGCTCTCGAGATCTCAGCTTCTTCAAGGTTTTGTTTCCCTCTCCTCAGTGCCTCTCTGGTCCCTCTAGTGTTGACAAAACTCATGCTCAGATTCTTAGTTTAGTTGGTATAAAGTGAAAGCTTATTCTTTCATACCTTATATATTTTCTCACCATTTGATTCAAATGTCGAATTTAGGCAAAGTGATGAAATCCATGTCCTTAGAATAGAATATCTAAAAAGAAAAAGTAAAAGAACACATTCCTTTATTCATTGGACTCTAATACAAAACGTCCGAATCTCAAAAACCGATCATGAGCTCTGCTTTTAATAACCTTTGTTCTGTTTTGAGAGGTCCCATTTTTGTTTTTGTGTATTGAAATTCCAATTGTACATGCTTTATTTTTCACCTTTTGTTACCACTATGAAGCGCACGCTAGAGATTTACGCATTGCAAGCTCTATTAATACTGTTTGGCAATTATGTTTCTTCTTTACAAAAATTGCGATTCTATTTTCGCGAAAAGCCAAAAATATTAATCAATAATTCAAGTAAATGGCTCTCACTAGTCACTAGCACTACTCACTAGTGACTGAAGCTTTTCCAATCTCCATCAACCATGATGATCCATGAAACAACTGCTGTTATCATATTTATTTACAAACTCAGAAAACGAACTACATCCAAGTCAAAAGAAAGTAGGAGGACAAAAGTAATAATAACCTAAAATGGAGAAAAAGAAAGATAGCTTAAGAAGCTAAGCTTGACGTGACGAAGAAGCTAAAGCTACCGCTTGTGCCCACACCTTCAATCTCGCCTTAACCTCTTTTGGATCATCGCCTACATTCAATGATTAACACATAAATTAATAATCATTTCAGAGAAAATAAGAATAAGTATAATTGATTGACTTATTACCAGGACTGGAGATGCGCCAGCTGGCGATCGGCGAGTTGCCGCCACTACTGGTCTGAGTATCAAAATTAGACCCGGTTGACACAGAGATCCGACCCGGAGCCTCCAATTCGAACCCGAGATCTCTACAAGCCTTCACTTCTTCTAATCCCATCCTCAACGACTTCTCTCCTCCTTTCGCCGTCGTTAACACCGTTAGTGCCTCTCTTCCACCGCCGTCACTTTCTCCGTTAAACCCATGATTACCGTAATCGTTAATTCCCTTTTTCTTCTTTTCCCTAATTACCCTCCTCTGCCTCCGTAAATTACACTTGATGCCATCTCTGTTACTCTCATTCGCGACTAACTCGCCGGAAATTTGAAGTTTTCTTCTCCGGCGAGATGGAGTCACCGGGAGAGAGTAAAACCGAGGTGTGTCTTTGTCGGAATCAGACTCGCGAACGTTCTCCTTTCCTCGTCCTCCACCATCGGAAAACTCTCCGTCAGCCTCTGCTCCGTCGAAAGCCTCCGACGTGAAAACGCCCAAATCTGGCTCATTCTTGGTGGCTTCGTCGTAAACGGAGCTTGTGCAAACAGACAGCCTCGACAGAGAATTTCGGATCTGGTGAAATCCAGCATCTTCTTCCAAGACCGTGAAAGAAGAAATCATCATCAAGCTCTCGTCAAACGCCATTAAAGAGGAAAGTGAAGAGACTGACGTTTGGAGTGTCCACTATTCTCTTTTCGTTATATGGTTTGAAACTGAGTCAACTTGGAGGTTTAACCCAGATGATTTCATTTATATCCAAGTTTCATGCTACTTACGTTTTTGCCCCTCTTTTTGTTTGAAAATTGCAAAAATTTATTGGTACTTTAATCCACATTTATTTATTTTTTGGTATATATCTATTTCACTTGTTGATCAACAGCATGGATTATGCTGATTTGAATTCGGATGATGGTAAATTGACATCACTAAACAAAAATTAGTAAACTATATTTTGGGATAGATATCTAACTCATTTTGTTGATTCTACTACCATTACAAGGTTCTTCTAAATGGTAAAACATAAAAGGAATGGATGAAATAAATGTGGATATAGATGAGTCAAATATGAAAAATTAATTAATGTAATCTATCTTATCCTATTCATCCTCTCCAAAATTGCATGGTGAAATTTTAACAAAATGTTTATGACTGCTCCCATTTATACCACATTTTATCCATAAAGTTAGATATCCATTTTGCAAATCCTCAAATACTACAAATCACAGTATTTTCTTGAATAGTCACTAAAAAAAGTTGGCCAATTATTGCTATTTTAAATTTGTCCTACACTCGTACTTAACACTCGTAAATTTTAAATTTTAAATAATCCATAAAGCCTGAAAGTAGATTTTATAGTATTAAATAAAGAAAATGTTAAACCAAGGTAATTACTAATTTAATGATCCTTGTTTTTATCTCTTATCTTAATACGAGACTGATTAATAATACAATTTCCAAGTTTATCGCTTTCAAGCAATAAATAGTGAAACGTGTATCTGTAGACCGTGTTTTAAGCAGCTTACAAATGCAATTATCCAACATCGCAAGCAACTAATCGACCGTTAATTAATTACATCACTTATCTATACCATACTGGAAAAGTTGAAAGCGATATTTTCCTTTACTGCTATAGATTATCCCACTTAATAACGATACCTATAATTTTGCTTAAAACAATCAAATTTGGTGCTGTTTTTTTTTTTTAATATGGAATAGGAATTTCTTTTTTAAAAAAAGAAAAGAAGACATGGAGTAGGAGTTAACTAAACTGAGTTTTCATTACTTTCTTTTCAGTTACACGGATAATTAAATTATGTTGATGTATGTTGATCCTAAAGATCATTAAATGTATTTAACAGTTGATGAGAGTGATTAGAGATGATTTTGGAGTGAGATTTTCGTATAATAAAAGTGATTTAGCTCGGGAAGGAAGAATGAGGGTCAACTCGGAAACGTAAGAAATGTTTGCAAGGAGAGAACTAGTGTTTCGAATTAAGTCTGGAGCAGGTCCAGTTTGGTGCTTTTATTATTGTTACAGCGAGCTCGGTAAAGAGACAAGTGTATTAAAGTAGAGAGAGAGTAATAAATTTCGGATCCCCTCATAAATGATCTATGATGAGTATTTATAGTGGAAGTTGGGAGACGAGTTTCCTCCAAATCGGGACGACGTGGCAGCTCCAGAGTATCTCGCGGGTATGGCGTCTCGAGCTGCGCGTCCGAACCATTCCGCGGCGTGTGATGATGGTCCTTCGCCGAGCTACTTGCGTATTTAGGCTACTGTAGACGAACTGCCCTTACACGTGTCAGGTTCTGCTCGTCTCTGCGCACTGTAGATCGACGTCGTAATGATGACGATTTGGCGGGACCATACTGACCGGGCTCGTTGACTTTGGCTGAGTTTTTGTTGACTTAGTCTATGGGTTTTATTGTTCAAGATGGGTCTAGCTAATTAGGGGTGCTAAGCCCACCTCTAATAATATATACTACAAATATATTACCGTTATCCAAAATCTGCAAACCAATTTTATTTAAGTTTGGAATTACATCATTTTTCACATGTTCTGAAACATTAAGTTTAGCTACAAATTGGTCTATGAATACATGTGAAAATCAATTATTATTGTTTATTTAGCGGCTAAACACGTACTAGCTTCAAACCATTAAGCTAGGTTGAAACAGATATCAAAATCAAATCAAAACGAACATGCAAAATCACATGACATGCTATAATTATCCCAGACCAGGATGAGGCTAAGGCACTGCAACGTTCGCTATTTTCGTGTTGACAAGCTTGTAGATGTTTTTATGGAACTGGATGAATCAGGTGTATTGTGTGGTGTGGACAGATAAAACAAATCATTGTCGTAATTAGTATAACGCATTTACTATAGGCATGGACCGATGGACGGTCCTTCTTGTCCCGTTTTTTAATGTCTTTACTCTACGTCACTCCTCTTTAGTTTCTCACTCTCACTTCTTCGCGTGGAACCGATCTCAATAAAAAAAAGTTTTAACTTTTTATCATCACCAAATGAAAAACAAATTACTAATTCACTACTTGACTTTCCTGTTTTCAATTTTTTTAAAAAATCATTGAAAAAAGATATAAACGTGTGTCAATTGTGTAATTTTCATTATGTCACCGTATGGCCGGCCCATATGATGTTTACTTATCCTTAAGAACTAAGTTTTTTTTTAAATATTAACTTGGTCGCTTTCTGAGTTAATTGAATAATACTAAAGAGCTAAAGATTTATTAGAAGAGGAATTTTAGAGTGATTGTTTGATGGTGGATTTGTTGGTAAAACATCCGAGCGACGCTGGCCGTTGGATCTTTTGATCAGTCTCGGTTTCAAATTCAAAGGCTCAAAGCTTTGTCACTCACCAATGGGCCAGGCCTAATTTTTAAAAAGGATTTGTGTCCCGATCCAATATTCTATTGAAAAAACGTCACACAGTGCTAAAGCGTATAATTCAAACGGCAGAACATGTCGATTTGAGGACTTCTTTGGGACCTCCTGTCTTCCTCTCCGACGATCTTCGTATAAAACTACTGCGGCGGGAAATCGTCTTTCAAATTCGCGGGATTCGGTCGAAATTCATGTACGTCTGCGAGTGTAGAAGCTCATCTTCCTCATCCTTGTTGATTTTTTTCCCAAAAATTTCATCTGAGGGAAGGAAATGGATTCGGATTCTGTGAAGGAGTTCATACGAAGGGAAGTTCCGGATTGGGACGATGAGGTGGTGGCGAAGGCCAGATTCAAGGCGTTTAGTGGGCAGAGATCCGATTGGGAACCCAAATTTCAGTTCTGGCGCGATTTGATCCTCAAGGTTTCGCGTCAGTTGGGAGTGTTCATAATTGATCCTGTCCAGGTCTGGTCATCAATCGCTTTGATTCTAGAGGAAATTAGTAGAAAGGACTGATTATATATCGTTATCTCTTGTTTCTAAAGGTGAAGAAGGCGTGGTTTGATCGAGGAGGAATGACGCCTTTATGCATTGATCATGTACTGGTGAGTTCCTGCAATTAGTGGTGAAAGGGATTTGTCTTCTTATACTGTTTTTTTCTTTCTTTCACGAGATTGATTACGATTTGCTCTTAATATCTTTGTCTGTTTCCAGTTATTGATGCATGATGAAGGTGATGTTGTGCGGATTAGCGAAGTCGAAGATCCGGGTAGTGGGCGTTTATCTCGTTTATTGAGGAGAGTGAGGAATTTAATGGTTCAGCCTTCAGTGAAGCCTGGAGAGATTCTCGAAAACAAACTTGTTATCGTCCCACTCTTGAAGGTTCGTCTGATTTTTCTCACGTTCTACCATCGGTTTCTTGTTCTGTTTAGATACACGGATCATATACATGGTAAAGAATTGTCTGTCTGTTGAGTAAGCCTGTGGCTGATACTGATAGACGTTAAGTCGATGTGGTATCTAGGCGAAGGCGGCTGATGTGGTGAGAATGTTATCTGAGGGACACTGGACTTCTACTTGTGTTGTCACGATGAACAAGTTCCGGAACTTGTGCGACGGCTCGAACGAGGCATCTGTTGTTTTGAGTCACTTGTCAGGGTGTGGAAAAGCGCATAAAATCTCTATCAATCGGGGAGAAGTGATAGAGGTTAGTTCTTATCCAGTCTTTTCTCTGCTATTGTATTATCTTATGGGGATATAGTCGTTACTCGGTAGTATGTATGGATTTTAAATGTGCACGAGATATATCTGGTCTGTAAGGATGTAAATATCTTCCTTGACTTTTTCATGTTTCTTACTTGATTACACATTCCAGTGAAAAGAAAACGAAAGAGGCCAATGTGACAACTTTCACAAGTTAGACTCGGTTCAGACCGAGACCCATTCATAGTATCTGAATCTAACATACTTGTGCTTTGCAGGGTGTTAAAGTGTCCTTTTCAGAAGCAGCACTTCCCAGTATCTCAACTTTAGACTGTGATATTCTGCACTTGCTGAGGACTACAGAAAAGCTTCAAGATCGACTTGAAGTGATGGACCACCATTGTGAAATGTAACACCTTCTGATTCTGAATCTGTATCGAAATGGTTTAATTATCTCGTACAGTAATCAATAGCCTTGGAAAATATAATTCAATTAGCTTTAATTTTTCCATTCGATGGTTAAATAGATTGAACTAAGAGCGTTTGAGTTTTTCCCTTTTGTAGGTCAAGGAAATCAGCGTTGGCATCTCTCAAGTCTGGACACAAGAAAGTTGCTCTAAGGCATGCAAGGGAATTGAAGCTGACGACTGAGAGCAGAGAAAAATGTACGTCGCTCCTGAACAGAGTAGAGGAAGTGTTGAACACTATAGCGGATTCCGAATCAACGCAAATGGTATTTCCAAACATTAGGAACCCCCATAGGTCGAGCTTGTCATGTTTGGGCCTTTGTAGTTGTATCAAATATGGAGTTAGAAAAATATCTCTATGTGTTTGGCAGGTCTCAGAAGCAATCAAAACTGGTGCTAGGGTTCTGAAGGACATCAAGATCAATGCAGATGAAGTTCATGACTATTTGGAAGAAATTGAGGAAACTATTCAATCACAAAAGGAAGTCGAAAAAGCCCTTGGTGAGTGTTGTTTTTTTCTTTTCTTTTGGTTATTTGAACATACATACACGATTAATCCATGAACTTTTATGTTTACCTGGACTATTTATTGATGTGGCAGAATCAGATCCATATCCAGATATGGATGATGAAATTATGGAAGAAGAACTCATGAAATTAGAGATGGAGCTTGAAAGCGAAAGTTCCCAGGTCATTCCAACGACTTCAGATACTGCAGATGCACTGACTGAGATGTTCTCAGAGCTTAAAGTTGGCAATTCAAAACAACCATTGGAGGAGCAAGCTATTGAACCAGTTCGGATGAAAGATAGCGGAAAAAAGATTCTTGAAGCAGCATAGTAGCACAATGCATCTTCATTGTGGTGCGATCTCTTCTCTTGTTTTTGTACAATCAGTGTCATATATAATTAAACCGGGTAAAGCAAGTCTTATTGTATTTGTAAGCTATGCATCTTGTTGGGAACAAAAAGCTTCACTCTACGTATTGTGTATAAAAACTCACGAGCTTGTTCCATAAACAGAGCGGAAAGTCAAATTATGATTTCGATCATTCCGGTAGTGGTAGGTAATCGACAAATTTGTCAAACTCGTCGTATTTGTCATCAGACGGAAACTAAAACTCGAGATTATTATTAGCTCTTCTCCTTTATGTTACATGAACTAGAAAAGCAAGCACTACAAAAGATAAACTTAAACAGATCCTTTCTTATTAATTTGTTCTGATGTTGTAGTGCTCTTTTGGACCTGTATGATTCCACTTGAAATGGCTCCAGTAAATCAGCAGGTAACTATCACCACTGTCTATTTCATCTGCTCACGGTTTTTCAGATTTTTTTTTTTTTACCAGAGAGAAATCCTCCAACTGTTCTTGCATCATCTAGATTTGGTATCTGGTTAGGGAAAGCAGCACACGATGGCGGGACAGATTGAGGGAGGCAGTTTTCCATTGGAGTGAAAAGTGCAGAGTTTTGGATTGGCATTAGTCCAGGATGGCTAAGAAACCGTAGCATATCTTCTGAATGACTAATACCTGGCAAGCCAGCCCCAAGAAAAGGCGTGGGAAGAAACTGTGGTACGCTCATTGGCATACCTGTTGCTAGACCCATCTGAGAGTAATGTGACCCCAAAGGCAAACTCATTGCTGGTGTAGCAAATCTGTTACCCATCGTTATCATCTGCCACCCAAGGTTTAATACAGTTTAAAACATGAATCTTTAGACTGAATTTGTGAGAACATGTTGCAAGTATAATACATTAATACCTGAACTTGAAGTTGAAGGGTCGTCATATAATTGATTGCTTCATCCAACAATGATTCGTTGTCATCCTATGAGTAGTTGAGTATTTAGGTTAATGTAAGTAATGGTATCTTCTCCAGAGAATGATCTATCTCTCTCTTTTTGAAATAGTTCAAAAAAAGTTGGTTCTTTATGGACAAACCTTGTGAGAATTAGGTAGTAGATCCTGCAAAGTACGCATTTTCTTGTTGATATCGTTTCTTTCCTTCTGTTTTGGGATACGAGGTGAATGTATCAGATTCAGATTAACACTCTTTTGCTTTGTAAGTTTAATGAGATAACTTACTCTTTCAGGTGAATTATAAAGCTCTTTGCTTCGTCTTCTCTTGACCGAAGCTTTTCCTGTTTTTTCAGGAACTCGTAGTCTTCCACCATCAGACTCATCATCTAGACTCTGCGTCGTTGAGACAAAAAAAAAAATGAAGGCTTTTTTCAGACAAGAATTTAAAAGATAAAAATCAAAGCAACAAAGTCTGTGAACCAATCAATCCTCTTACACTGCTTAGATACGACGATCCTCCACTGTCCTCAGTGAAATCTGTGGAGTCAAAGGCCGAGTAGACCGACCTTTCAGCTACCACAGATTGCTCATCGGGAGGTATAAACTCGATAATTTGTGGGTTCTCATGATCAACCACAATCCTTTTCGATGAAGAAGCTTTCAAAGTCTGAATCAAAGTTGATTCATCAACATGTTTATTATTGCTTTCCAACATGTTTGTTTCATATGCAGCAACAACTTGATGTTCTGGAACAACCTGCGTCTCCCCAAGATTCTTGATGAAACCACCATCATGGATACTCTTCTTGAAATCCTCGTTATACTCAGCCTCGTACAAATCCATGATCGTTTTTGTACGTTGATTCTGCTGAGAAAAACCGTTGGATCTTTGGCTCTTAGCAAGAATCTGCCCATTCTCAAACACAAGCTCCAAATACTCTTTATCGGTTAACCTGCAACAATAATCATCGCTTGGTAAGAACATCATCTATATACACATATATATATGTGTGTGTGTAGATTAATATGAATCAAGAACTTAATTTGGTCTGAAGGTTGATGATGGAGAAGTCATCTTTGTCTTGTTGAAATGATCCAAAAAGGCTTTTCTTCGAAGAGTGAGTGAAAGCTATCTTTCTTTTGTTGATCAAGTGTCTTTTAGCTCTTATAATATTGCTATTGTTTATTTTTTTCCCTTCGTTATTATTATTATTACTTACTTCAACTACTATTTCTTTATTTATAGTTGTTCTCAGGTGCAATTAATCTCTCAGTACAGTCGTACTAAGTCGAATCTTAGCATCTCTTAGTTTATATTAAAAAGGAAAAAGATTATTCAATATACATACGTCGTTTCCAAAAACGAAATGATAAAATACAACCAGATACCATATGAGTTAAAAAAAAAGTGTAAATACATCACTCAGAGTGTAAGATGGCTACAACATAGACAAATATCTTTTGTAAACATCAATGAAACCAACAAAAATATATTTCCTCAGTTTTCGTTATCTCCCACAAATTTATAGAACATGATAATTCAAGGAAGTGAAAATGTAAACGACAAAAAGAAAAGAGAGAGAGAGAGAGAGAGAAAGAACGGGCCAAAAAGCCCACGTGATTGTGGGAAGAACCTTCACAGAGCCGGTATAAGGACAATGGAGAATGGGGCTGGGCCCACCCTTAAATATTAAAGGGGCCCACGCGAAGTTTTGGCAGCATTCTCCTCAAAAGGAAAAAGTGGAAGAAGGAAAAAAAAGAAGGGCGTGAAGTTCACGTGAAAGCCACGTGATTCATAGTCCCTTTGTGTTTTTTTGTTCCCTTTTGCACTGTTTTTAGCCATTTGTCCTCCATACCAATGAATAATCACTCCTGCAATTCTCTTGTTTATTTTCATTTATAGCTTTCGATATTTTCATATTACATTTTGCCAACCTTCTTGTACAGTATAACTTTTATAAATTAATATTCGATAAATTAATACATCAATAAATTAATACATTTCTTAAATTTTAAATTAGTTTTTTAAACTAATTTTTATATCGATAAATTAATAACTTGATAGAATATTATAGTTCTAACATTATTAATTTATAGAGATTTTACTGTATAACGTCATCTTGACTTAACATAATTTTTCTCTTTTTTTTTTGCTATAACAAATTATTATTGCATTTTTATTATCCAATATACAGACACACTTTTCCAATTGCATATTTGCAGTTCTATGTACAGTTTTCAGTTTAATTTCCCAAATGTACACTTTTTTTTGCCTACAAATATACATAATAATTACTTAGGATTCCAAGAATAATGTTCATTCCTTAGTTTCCCTAGTTCGCGAATATCTCATCTTGCAAAACCAGAAAACAAACGTTAAGATCAATTAGAATGTAAAATGTCAACAAAAAAAAATCCCAAAAATACCAAATTTCGTAATCAGTTTCCCAATCTAATCGGTCTAGGCGTATATAGATCAAATCATACTGGTACAAATTAGGGTTTTCCATTATGTTGGATCGAGAAAGGAGAGTGAGCTACTTATTTTTGGCTCGTTCATGAGAAATCTGGAAGCTTCTTATTTTAATATTCGTTCTTATGGTGTGACCAGTTTTCATACAATCATGGTGAAGAAGAAGAAATTTGATAGGTAAGGAAAAATATTAATCTATAAGATTTGATAGGTTTTAAGCAATATTGATTACCGTTGGTTAAAATGCTCTTCTTCTTCTTAACGACTTTATTTTTGTTATATTATTAACAAACAGTTAGATGAAAAGATAATTGGATCATTGGGCCCTTAACTGGCTTGGGAACCGGTCGAGTGTGCTATCGGCTTTACTATACGTTTGTTTCTCTTCTAGTAAAGGTAAAGCAATACGAAAAATAACTAAAATTATACAATATGCAATAAGTTATATGCAAGATGAATCGAGAGATGCAAATTAAATGTCATTTGGAAGGGAAATGACGTCATAAAGAGAGTCCAGACTAAAGGGGAACATAATGTTGTCACGCAGCCACACATATCTTTTCTTTTATCATGCTTTAAGATTTGGGAATTATTAACACGAAAAAAACCCAAAATCAATTACGGGGTTAGTGCGTAATCTAAAATCCATATAATAACTGAAATAAAATATAGTATCAATAGTTCCATAAAAAGGCACGCACGTAAAACCTCAATATTAACACGCACGCACACACCCCGTATCTTTGCTTTATCGAGTTTCATGCATTCATATTCATTAATGTATTAAGCTTCAACAAACTTAATTATAAAAATATATGAAAAAGGAACATTACTCACTAGATTGCCGCCCTCCTTAATTTAGATTACTTTACAGACCGAATCTAAATCTTCCTCTGTTTTGTAAACTTTGAATTCTGATTAAAGAAAACATGTTTTCATTCGGTTTTTAAGGGGAAATCGATATGCCTTTTCTTCTTTTTCTTTAGAACCAATAAAGTGATCGTAAACAACTTTAGTTGGGCTTAGAGGCACTATAAGTCATCGTAAACTTTCGTAGGGTTTAGGAACTATGACTCTTGTAATCGAAATTTAACATTTTTGAAATCGTTCATTGTGATAAATTGACACAACTTTTATAAACAGAGTCTTCCATGAAGATTCATTAACCAAATAAGATATAAAACTTTCATCGTGGAAGATTGACCTACAGTTAAACAAAAACTTAAGGGCGAAAGTTGAGTTTTTGTTGCTTGAACCTGAACCATAAAGACAAGGTTATTGGTATAAACTATTTACATATTTTTAGGCCTAAACAGTTTAGGACCGTAATTTTTGGTATCTATCAATTAAATAAATGCAAGACTAACAAATTTTAATTGGTTCTGCACATTGACAAAAAAAAAAATGTTTCGGCACATTACTTTGTTTATTTTCATATCTTCTTTAAAACATGTGATATATATATATCACATATATATATATAGTATTATTTATTTATCATGGTAAGAGTGGAAATCTTCACTACTGTAAACTAAAACCGAGGAAAGAAATTTAGGCCTAAAAAGATTAGAACTGTAAGTTTTAGTATATATCAATTAAATAAATGTAAGACTAACAAATTTTAATTGTTTCGGCACATTGACAAAAAAAAAGAAAAATTGTTTCGGCACATTACTTTGTTTATTTTCATATCTTCTTTAATATATGTGATATGTATATATGTAGTATTATTTATATAGCATGGTAAAGAGTAGAAATCTTCACTGTAAAGTAAAAACGGGGAAAGAAATTTTAAAACAATTTTAAAACAAGAGCAAACGTAATATTTCCTTATCATAGAATCATAAAACACCATTTACAGTAAAGAAAAGACGGCCAGACGGAGTAGCTTTTAAGTCATTCATCAATCGTTATACGAATTATAACACTAATTAAGTATATCTACATTTACTGATCGATTAGACCATCCGCAACGCGCGTTTTCAGAGACGTTTCTTCTAAATATTTGGAATAAAAAATTGAATTTGCATCAATTTTTGGCAAAAGACGTATGGTAATTAAGAATGATAATATACGTCTTTTGTGTTATATGTTCAAGTTTAATTGTTTTTATCTATTTTTAATATTAAAATTTTGAATAAGAGACTAAAATTCAGTTTTTGTATTGCAGATGCTATTAAAATAAGTCACAGAATTGTATGGTTTTGACTAGATAAGAGTTTGCTTAACGAATTAGAAAGACGGTTTGATAAATATTGCTTCGAACCTAAAACTAGATAGAGAATATAGAGTAGTGGTAACAAAAAACTCTTTCCATACGTATATTTATTCATGTAATAATTGGTCTTGCATGGTATGCTATGGTCAACTTTGTGACAAAAAAAAGAAGCAAAAACGAGGACAATGAAATGAGTTGGCCAGCAAGAGAGGCTACAAAGAGTCACGAGACATGCAATCATCCTAATTTGAAGCCACCCCATGATTTTACTGACAAGCGAACACATTGCAGTAAAGTCGAGTTATCATAATATTTGCGATAAATATAAAGTAAAATGTTTTTTTTTTCAAAAAGTGAGTGGAAAATTCTCTTACAACTTAATGATTTATAAAAGGACCAGACATTATCATTAAATCTTGAAACTAAAAAACTATGAGTGCCTTGAAATCTGAGAGTCACTAATTTCTTATGAAATTAGTATATATTTGTTGTTATCTATTGGAAAAAACTTTGGTCTATAAATCATTCTATTTTTTTTTGTTAAAGTTTGTTCTATAAATCCCGATTATACATTTTCTTATATAGTTTTCTTAGTTTTATAAATATGATTTAATTTGCTTAAATTTGATAACAACTTTCTTCTATAGATATATTTGATATTTCGATTGCTCTTTCTGATTTTTGTTTCATTCGTTTTGGGAATGTTCATACATTGTATCAGATCCAAAGAAAAGTACTGACCAAATACATGCAACATATTGGTTTTCTAGGGGGAAAAAAGCGTACGAAAATGTTCAAAAAAAAAAAAGAAGAGTAAAAGATATAGAATTTAAAAAATAAAAAATAAAGGGGACAGAAAATGGTGTAGAGAAAAGTTTGAAGAAGAAAGAAAAAAAGTGAGGAATGGTGATGGTAATGGTAGGGATGGTGGGGAACATATCTCTTCTTTATCTTTTCCCCTTGTTTTCTTCTCTCTCTCTACAACATGTTTAGAGTTTCTTTTGATTCGAGCTAAATTTTTTTTTGTTCTGTCCAAAATCTATTTGCTTCTTCAAACCCAAACGGTATCATCGCAATTAATGTCGGTTAGCATGATAAAGACATTGTTTTGAATGTTCAGGACTCAAAATACTTGTATTAACTACCTGTGTCTTCTTAATTTTGGTGTATTAATAACGACATTTATTATATAGAGCCAGGATCGTTTCATATCAAATTTGATGTAATGATTTTTTTTTTTTTTTTAAAAAGACTTAATTTCTATACAAATTAAATAACAAATAATAATGCTAAAATTTGAGCTAAGGCCAGATTCTTTGAAAGAAAAGGCCATATATTCGAATAAACAAGTTGTACATAGGTACTGAAAGACATACATGTGTAGAATGGTTTGGTGTAATGGTGAAATAAATTTGGAGACAGTCAAATTTTCTGTAAAAAATCCTCGAATTATAAAAAGATAACAAGGAGTTTTGGTAGTAAGTAATCATCTTGGATGGGACATGAAGAAGCTAAGGAGTGAATAAAGAGAAATTGTAGAAGCGGAGGCGACAAAGTGAAGAGACACGTGGAAAAAGGCACGTGACGTGGGGAATGTGAAAATGTTGTTGTCGATGGTGTTTAATTTAGGGGCATTGTGTCTGCATTTTCTCGTGCTTGCAAAAATATGTTTTCAAGTGTGAGGAGAATTGTGACGTCTCCTTAAGTCCGTAAGTCCATAGGAGAAGCATCTTTCATTAGCTCCTCTCTTTAAGGTTACGCATTCATTACTCATCATGCCTCCCTTGCCTCTCTTCTCTCCTTTATATATTTTTTTTCTTTTTTTTTTCTATATAATATTTTTCTTTCTTTGCTTCTAATTATTACATGTAACGTATAGAACCAAAGGAACTTGCAATTTTACGGTGACCGCAATTTGGTAATCAATCGAGAAGACTATGAGTCCGAATGGTAACAGCGTATTTGGTTGTGCGGGAAAAGCGATTTTAAAGTGCGGTACGGTTTAACTGCAGTACGTACGGGAGAATTCAATTGCGGTATATGCAAGAGAAATTTAACTGTGGTATGTGCGAGAGAAATTCAACCGCAATACGTACAAAAAAACTATTTGTGTATTTAATACAAAATAAGTGGTATAAAATACTATTTAATTAGTGAAAAGCAACATATATGCAATATAATAGATATTTTAGAAACAAATATATTAAAAATATTAGTAAAACTATAAATTAGAAATGGTCTAAACATTTTTTTTTTTTAAAAAACTGTATTATCCATTTAATTAATTTCATAATTTTTTCTATAATTTTTAAAGTTTTTGTTATTCCTAAAATTTTAACATAATTTTTATAAATATAGTTAGTATATTAATATTTATAAAAAAATTCAGTTATAATATAGAAAACCACACATGAAAACAGAACCGCTTCAAAAACCTAGTGTAATTACTATTCCATACAAATTTCATTTTTTCTTCACAAAACTAAAACCGCACTTCTACTATTCATCTTTTTATTAAAAATAGAAAAAATTCCGCACCGCCGTTACCATTCATAGCCTATATATGTTTATACAGTCATATATACTCAAATCAAAACATTACATCAAAAATTAACATTACATCAAAAGTTAAAATTGAGATCTTTGGCTGGCGTATCAGAATGAATAGTTTCAAAGTGACGATTCAGAACACGAAAAAGGACTATTTTGACATGTTTTGGTTTACGTATAAAATTTGTAATCATCACGTGAAATTTACGGTAGCTGAAATAATACGTGAACTAAAAACCTACGGTAAAGTCCATTGGAAATCAATTTTTGATATATATTTAATTTGTATGAGATTATCATCAATAGATTCACTTCTATTGTTACAAAAAAGGGGTGGTTTTAATATTGATATATATATATATATATATTTTGGTTGGACTTGACCATATGCTTTATGTTAAGATAAAGTAACAATCAAAGAAATTGAGGAGTGTAACTCAAAGCGACGTGGATTAGAATCATGGGAAGCTCAAACTCTTGTCATGCTTGGATACGATGGAGTCCACGATGACAATTCTATCTTTGTCATACTACAAAAAAAAAACATTATTAGAGAGGTTAGTGACGTAAATGAGACGTGGTTTGCCAACTGATATTTCATTAAACAAACATTTAGACTATTTTTTTATGCTAAGAAAAACATGTTGTTAAATAAGTATCTCGCGGTTATAAAAAACCATTAATTATGGAAAGAATGGTGTTTGTCGAACCCACGAATGCATCAATGCGCGTCACGAGAATTTCATGCACTGAACTTGATTTAATTAGGACGGAAATATTAAGTAAACTATGGTTAAAAGATAAATAAATGTAGTTGTGTTCTATTTTTTGTTTTTGCGAAAATTGTGTTCTAATATTTTTCCAAGAAATAATGTTCCCATCCGGTTAGAAGATGTATTTCTTGTCTACGTTCATCTAACTCCTTAAATCTAGGCCTAACATTTTTTTTTATGTTTTAAGTAATATGAAACCATGCCAGTTTAACAAGCGCTTAAAGGAGTGCTATAATCCTTTAGATTTCATCGATTTGTTTTCAATCGGCTTAAAGGTTAAAGGTTGCTGAACTTGTATTTCAATTAAGTTCTCTTTCTTGCTAAAGCTGACGGCTGTAAAGAAAACATTACCTATATTTTCTGATGTAATATTTTTTTTGTGTGTGTGTGCTAAAATGAATGCAATACAGAATTAACCACTAATGAATAAAAGATATGTATGAATCTAAATAAATAAAAGGACTGTGTATCTTATTCATTTATATCTGCTCCACATATTAGTCAACTGTAGATACTTTTTTTTTTTCGTCCATCATATTAAAATTCAAAGGCAAATTACATGATGATTCAAAGCCTAAAACCGGTACAATTTCAAACTCAAATATAACCCATTACAAAGGGGATAACGCTTGCTAAAGTAAAAACACGTGTGTCACACGTGTCAGTTTTGGATGAAGAGTAGGTTGACGGTGAGAAGATGCCGCCGACAGCTTCGATGATACAGAGCTTCGCCGGAAAACCTGAGATCCGATGAAAGCAAACCTCTGAGGTTGAGAAATTCTATCAGATCTAATCCTCCTGATAAGAATCATCATGCAAACTCTTCTACAACAGAATCCAAGTTGTTTATAATTCTTCTTGCCTCCATAAAAACACCACCGATCATCACTACCTCAAGACTAATTCCCTTTGTCTTTACAAGGCACTTCATTAGGGATTCTGGGGAGAAAGCTCCCAATCGAGAGAAGATGATACTAAATTTTGGAGAAGAAGTTGTTACCTTCATCACCGGACCTGAATCTGTAGAAGAGGAAAGAAATCTGCAATCAAAAAACCAATTGCATAATCTCATAAAACCCATCATAATCATTCAAATTGAAAAGAGGTTTCGCTCCACTAAGGATTAGCGAACTTTCTTTACAAAATTGAAGAATCGATCTAAATCAGCAAAAGGAGATTTGAAAGCAGAAGAAAACAAAATCCGTCAAGCGGAATCATTATTAATCCGACTAGAATATGAACAAGTCGGAAGTATTAAAATCCGGATGAAACCGGAAAGATCATCCGATATTAATTGGTCTGATAGATGGAAATGAGAGAAGAGAGAGGAAAAAAAATTCCGTTGTTTTTTTAGAGCATCCGCAATGCAAATACAGTCTTTGATCTCTTCCCAATTTTTTTAATATTAAAAGTAAGGAAAAAACGTCTCTATATATCCATTAAAGAAACGTCTCTAGCAAATTTTCTTTTCTACTTATATTTTTTAATTAAAAAATTGCTAGAGACCTGAGTAAATACTCGGGTTGCGGATGCTCTTAAGCAACTGTAAATACCTAAAATTCCAACACTAAATAATATATATAAGAAGAAATCCGAAAATATATTTTTGCTAAACGAAGAGTACTACGAGTCGAGTATTTACTCTGAAATAATACAAATTTAATTAGAACACACTCAGCAAAAAAATCCGAGCAGAAAGTCAAAACCAACACTTTGACCAACTGTCTGCATGACACGTGGATTTGTCTGCTACATCAACAACATCTTTAACCACACTGTCTCATCATTCCACCATCTCCATTTCTATTTATTAAAAAAAAAAAACAAAATATCACCAAGACCATATCTATCAATTCTTCTTCTTCCTCGTCGAACAATATATTAATAAAAATCCTCTTCTATATATATATACACACACACGTTCAAATCATTAATCACCTGTTTAGATAAAATCAGAGAGAGAGAGACAGAGAGAGAGAGTGAAATAGTAAAAAAAATGGGAAGAGGGAGAAGCTCATCGTCTTCATCGATAGAAAGCAGCTGCAAAAGCAACCCATTCGGTGTCTCTTCGAGTAATACACGGAACCTAAGCACGGACCTGAGGCTCGGACTCAGCTTCGGATCATCTTCGGGACAATATTACAACGGTGGAGAAAATAATGAATATGGAGTCGTTGCGGCTGATCAAGAAATGATCATGGAAGAAGAAGATCAAAACGAGTGTAATAGTCTCGGAAGCTTCTACGTGAAGGTGAACATGGAAGGAGTTCCTATTGGAAGAAAGATCGATCTTTTGTCTCTTAGTGGTTACCATGATTTAATCACAACTCTCGATTACATGTTCAACGCCTCAATCCTTTGTAAGTATCTATACAATATACACACATATATATATATATATATTAATATATATATATATATATATATATATAGATATTTCATCTTTGCATGTAGATCAAAACTCATTTTATAGTTTATTTAATTTTGTAGAAGGGTTTACCATTATAATTTCGTTAAAAGAGATTCGTATTTATGTTTTGTTAGCTCTTTTGAAATTCCATCTATACAGTTATTACATGATCTTTGCATGTAGACCCATAACTCTTTCTACTATCTTCATCAAGAAAGATTCTTATATGAAATATTATGATTTTTTTTTTGACATCATGAAATATGATGATTTATTGAGTGAAGAGTGAGACTGTGAATGGGTTATAATAGTGGAAAATGAAACAGGGGCTGAAGAAGAAGACATGTGTAGTGAGAAGAGTCATGTGCTAACGTACGCAGACAAGGAAGGTGACTGGATGATGGTTGGAGATGTTCCTTGGGAGTAAGTACTTTTCGTATTTATTTTCATTAATATTTAATTAAACACTTGTCAATCTTTATTAATGGCATAATGATGTCGAAATCTAATGGGGCTTAAATTGATTACTACTTTATAGGATGTTCTTGTCTAGCGTGAGAAGACTGAAGATTTCAAGAGCTTATCACTACTGATGATTTTTTTGTTTTCTTTAAAAGAAGCAAAGATGGAATCTACTAGGATTATTGACCAATACAGTGGGAGTAGTTTTGTCATGATGTAAATCACTTGTCGGAGATTTATTCAAAATTTTTGTTTCTAGTTTATTACGTTATATTATTCGGTTGTAACTTGTAACGAAGGAAAAAGGTTCAAACCCTTCTTAAGAAAGTTTATGTTTTTTTTTTTATAGTTATTTTAGTTTTAGAAAAAATTAGCCAAAAAATACCAAAACTAATTTGATTCGAATTGGTACAATATTGATAATCGGATTTAATCAAATTTAATTTTCATTATTAACAAAAGTTTATTCAGTTCAGTTTCTTGAGTTGCACTTTCTTTCTTTTTTCTTTTTTTTTTTTTTTTCCCTCTGGTTAGTACGAATTCGGTTTTCATTTTCTCGAGTAAATTTGAGTTTTTTTTTTTTTTTTAAATTAAACAAGTTGGAGTTTTGTGATTAGGAAAAAAATGAATGCCAACAAAACAAAAATTCAATTTCAAATGACTTTGTCAGGGATACTACACTTGTCCTGCTGAGCATGAAAAAGCCCATTCAAAAAAAACAAAAAACAAAAAACGAAAAAAAACCTCTTAAGCCACTCTGATTATTTTCCTCACTGCACAAAATTTACAAGAACAACAGCAAAAAGAAAGAAAGAAAGAACAAAAAGCACCACTCTTGAAAAACGAAACCTCAGAGGAAAATTGGAAGGAAACTTAAAAGAGGTTTCTTCACAATCAAGCAAACTGTGTTTGCCCTTGCATCTTCAAAACTTCAGTAACTTACCAAGAAAGCAACCATGGTGATTTACTAAAACCGCTTGATTCCTCCAGTTTATTCTCTGATAACCCAAAACAATCAGAGCTATGCTCCGGGAAGATGCTCTCTTTAAAAGAATCACAAGCAATTTCCGGCGAAACCCACTGTGAATAGCCTCTAACATTCGAGCATTTCCACGGAGATCTCTTGGAATTCTTCTTCACTGTAAGAGTAACATTAAGGAAACATATATTCTTAAACACATCTCCTTCTATACCTTCAAGAAGACCCGCAACACCTATATCTTCGCCATTAACATTCTCAATGGTGATTTTCTCGATAACCGGAAGTGCTATAGGATCAAACTTTTCGTCAGGATGTTCACCATACGTACCGGTGAATCTAATCCCTTTCTGCACATTATCGAGCTTCACGTTCGATATGTGAACGTTTCTGACATACCCTCCTCTTCCAGGAGAAGTCTTGATTCTGATTCCAGTGTTGGAATTGAATAAATGTAAATCTTTGATATAGATCTCAGACACACCTCCTGACATTTCGCTTCCGATGGCTATTCCTGAGCTCGAACTAGTTTGACCACTCAACCGATTGATCTTGATCTTGGAGCTCGGTCTTGCGTACGATATTCCGTACTCATCCCATCCGCTTTTTATCGATACCAAATCATCTCCGGTTACTATGTAACAATCCTCTATGCAAACATTCGTTGATGAGTCTGCAATCAGACAAAACAAATTCTTAAAGATAATAAGGGAATTATATATATATATATATATATATAAAAAAAAATGATATTTTTGACCAAATGTGGCAATGAAACCCACCTGGATCAACTCCGTCTGTATTTGGAGATTCAAGAGGAGCCAAGATTGTGAGATTCTTTACAACAACATCTCTGTTTTAGACAAAAAAAACTCCATATCAGTACACAAGAGGGAAACTTTAGCTTAAATAAAATTAGCTAGACGACTGACCTGCAATAAACAGGATGGATGTTCCAAAATGGCGAATTCAAGAATGTGAGGTTGGAGATGACCAGACCAGTAGAGTTCATGAGCTCAACAAGATGAGGTCTTGTATAGTTTAGCTCTCCATTTCTAAACCAATCCCACCATATACTTCCTTGACCATCAATTGTCCCGTTTTCGCCTATAATTACAGTATCATCAGACGGCTATAATTAACATCATCTGTTAGAAAACGAATCATCCATATAAATTTGCTATATTATTACCTGTTATGACTACATCTGTGAGATTCTGACCATATATAAGACTCCTATGCCTTCTACCTGGCAATTCTCTTCCTCGTCCATATGATGGTAATGGATCAACCACAGGCCAATTCTCCGAGCTCTGAGAAATCAATAAAGCGATCACATTTTACGATAACAAAATTGTATGCTTGTGAAGATTCAAAAAAAAAGGTAGAGACTTTACCGTTGACCCGAGAATCGTTGCACCCTTGTCTAGCCATAACGTTAGGTGACTGATAAGGTCGAAACTCCCGGTTAGCCACTGACCAGCGGGAACAAAAAGCTTGGCACCACCTTTATCAGAGAAAGAATTGAGGTAGAACAAAGCATTCTGAAAGGCTTTAGTGTTTAAAGTGACGCCATCTCCAACAGCTCCAAACTCTGTAATCGATACGCTGTGTGGCCTGTGAAGACTCGCTGAATTGGAATATTCACAATGCAGGCTTCCTCCAACACAACACCAAGCTCCATATAATGCCTGTACTAGGAGCACATACAGGAGCTGCAAAACCAACAGTTCTTTCTTTTTTTTGTCAAAAGCAAAACCAACATTTCTCAAGTCTCTCAATCTTTTTAAAAAACTCTGATTACACATGAACAATGGAGGGAGAGTTAGGTGAGAGACACATTTCACCTCTAAAACTTAACAAAGTGCAAATCAGGAAGAGAGATGAAATATTTGAACAGTATGATTTCGAAGAAAAAATTCTCCACCTTTTGTTGAACATTGTGATCCTCTATACTATATATGATATTCATAAGTGTCTCAATAACTAATGAACAATGGAGACGCAGTTAGGAGAGTGCCACATTCCAACGTCTATAAGCTAGCATCAAATCAATTTAGGAAACATCAAATCAGGAGGAAAGATGAAATATTGAACAGTAATCTAGTGAAAATTCTCAAAATAATTTAACCAGATGTCAGATCTCAAAGACAAGATTTGAGAGACAGGGCATAGGAATTTGACTGAGTTATGTCCAAAGAAAAGAAGAGAAAGAGGAGATTGTTAAAACTTACAAGGAAAGATCTCTTCATATGAATAAAAGATCTGTGATCTCCTTGAGCTCCAGAAACCTAAATCCTGACAGCAATCTGAGTTTCTTTGGCTTCAACTCCTTTCTCTCTCTCTCTCTCTCACAGACTGTTAAAAAAAAAAAACAGATCTTTGAAATCAATTTCTCTCTCTCATGAGGCTTTGATTGCAGCAAGTTGCAAAGATTGATTAGATGGGTCAGTGGTGAGAGGAAACTGGGGAACCCACACTGGACAAAAAAATCATTGAAAGCGACCGTTTTTGCCCGCCAAAATTCAAGCAGTAGGTCCATCTTCTACCTTCTCCGTACCCTTTGCCATCACCAAATTACCTCCTTCCCGTACGAAAATGGCGAAACCCAGCAAAGGGGATAACATCTAATTAAGGACTTTTAAAGCAAAATTAAAGAAGAAGAAGATGAACAACATTCGATGAAATCTAAGATGTCTAGTGATACCTTATTTTGATGTTCTGTTAGAAAGAGACAAAGAGGGTCACAGAGAGAAAGCCAGAAAGAAAGAAAGAAAGACAGAGAGAGTGAGTGAGACCAGTCTGTAAATGAACACTTAAGGAGAATCGATTTCTGTTTTTTTCCTTTTTTTTCTTTTTTCGAATCAGCGTATTTCATGTGATCCGAACTCAAAGAATATTTTTTTATAAAAGAAATTGACCTGAATTTCTACATCGAAGATTGATAGATTCTCTAGAAAAAAAATGTTTTTTTTTGTTGTTGGAAAAGATCTGTAGTTTTTACATCTTTATGGGTTGGTTAATCAGTTAGTTATCATGACACGAAACGGTGACGTTTGTAGAGAAGAAGAAGATGATGGATCACGTGACACGTGGTGAGGATCTCTTAACGAACCCAGAATTGACTGCGCTAATCTAATTACCCTAGTAGGCTAGTACTATTATTCGATTTACCACGTTTTTCAGGTAAACTATAGTTTCGTTTTCTACCCAAATTAACAGCTTTTCAATATTTTTACTGTGGTTAAAAGAAATGTAAGAAATCGTAGTAAGTAAAACTGAGACGCGCTTCGACGCACATGAGATCGTAGTAAGTAAAACTGAGACGCGCTTCGACGCACATGAGAAACAATTAAAGAAAAGAGGATTTTAAAGTGCCAACATTTCTTTTTAAAATGCCATTTGAAATACTGTATTGGACTATGACTTAACTTCTACGAAAAAGCACAATATTTTTCGATTTGCATAGCAAACCTTCAACTATGCTTAAATGATTTTAATTTCGTAAATAAATACTAATAATATCGTCTCGATGTTGAGACCTGGTGGTACTGTTAAAATGTTCAAAGGTTTTTGTGGAATTATTAAGAATTTTTCGAAATATTTCTCTACTAGTGTGATGGTCAATTGGTCACCAATGGATGAGAGCTAGGAAGAATAAACTATTGTATTTAAATCATAAACTATTCCGTAAGTTCCAAAAAAAAAAAACTTATACTACTCAATTAGAGAGAATTAATAAGACAGACAGAGTAATGAGACTTGTTGTTGTCTATATTAAAACAATACAACACCCATAATTACTATACTTAATTATCCCTTTAAGAAATCAGCAAACATACCATCATGGACCGGATTATCAGGTTAAGTAGCCAACTTACGCATTCTTTTTTTTTTTCTTTTTATCAGTCATCAGATTTTCTTCAAAAACAGAGCTTTTATGGTGAATAATTGAATATCACACTTCACACAACAAGAGAAAGCCAAAAGCTTAGCATATTTCAAGTCTCATTCTACCTCAGAATATGCATCAAAATCAAACCAAACCAAAACCGAACAGAAGTCTAATTAAAAACCAAAACCGAGTCTGAATAGAGAGACATAAGAAGAAGGAAATGTCATGAGCTTAGTAACTCCTAATCCTGGTGGCGAGCAGCAGCAGTGTACTTCTGTATTCGTAGAGCCGATGAGTTGGATGAACGCAGTGGAAAATGATGTGTCGGAAGGGAAGTTAATGTGTCCTAATTGTAAAGCAAGACTTGGAAGCTTTGATTGGTCGGGAAGTTTCTGTAGCTGCGGAAGCAAGATTGTTCCGGCGTTACAAGTTTTCTGTAGGCGAAGAAGAAGACGAAGAAGAAGACGAAGAAGAAGAAATGAGCCTCCAAATCTTTGGCTTTCAATTTATTTTTAAGAATGTGATCTGAGCTACTTTTTTGACAGTTCGCAGGGAATCATATCGACAGTTAAAATATTAAGCCTTGATGATTGAAAGTCACAACTATCAGTTTATCCCAATTTATTTTAGGGACTCGAAGCTATTTCTAATTGTTAAATTGATCGTCTGTTTTCTTTTTCTTTTTCCAACACCAACAGTTCGTTTGAACCTTCGAAACATATGTTTATCGTCCATAGTGTAATCACAGTTTTAAATAAAAAACTCAAATTTGGTCAAAATATCAAATCAAAGCACAAGACAAAAGTAAATTTCATGAATTGAACCAAAAGATGATGAACACTTTTAGTAACTCCTGCCCCAATAGGTCCATTTCTTCGCAGGCTTTCCTGAAGCAAAGCAGAGAGTGCCTGTACAAACACAAGACCACATATGCTTAACTAATGACAACAACAACGAAGGGCAACGAAGTTTATGAGCAGAGTTTCTCAAGAGAAATTTAAAGGTTCCGAGTTTCTGACCTTCAGGGAGTTCTGGCTGTTCAAATGGAGAACAAAGGGTTTTAGCTGCTCCAGTTTCACCTTTAGTACGTGCCTTAACATCCCTCTCCACTTCCTACAAAGAATTTAATTTTAAGGTGATTATAATTGCATTCACTCACAGTTGATTTTTTACAAAAATTTGGAATAAGGAGGACTTTTGGTATTATTAACACACCTCTTCATCGCACCAGGGAGCTAATATGAGTTTCTTTTTGTTGAGAGCTTCTATAAACTCATCCCAAGTCTTAATTTCTTCAACACATGCCTCCCTCTTTTGCTTCGCTACTTCATACATGTTTTGCTGGATCTTCTCAAGCAGTTCCTGAACGTGTTTGCCTAAGCTACCTCTTGGGATATCTTCCTTAACTCCATTGTCCCGTCTTACAGTTCTGACCTATGGCGGTGCAAAACAAAACAACATGAAATCCCTTTAGCCACATTACAAATTTACATATTCAAAACAAAAATCACCGTCTTCTCAGTATAAACCAGGCACTACATCACAATATGTCAAAGAAATAAAGGACATATTCAACGGACAAAGCAAGACTGACCTGATCATTTTCCAGATCTCTGGGCCCAATCTCAATTCTCAATGGAACACCCTTCATTTCCCAGTTTGAATACTTCCATCCAGGAGAGTAGTTGTCCCTTAGATCTTCTTCCGCACGGATACCGGCTTCACACAAGGTAGAGACAGTAGCAGTACAAGCATCAAAGATTCCTTGGGTATTGGCATCTTTGTAGGGCACAGGGATCACAACAACTTGCACGGATGCGACTTTAGGAGGGAGTATCAGGCCTTTGTCATCTCCATGAGTCATAATCATCACTCCAATCTATACAAAGTTTGAAATTGAAAAGTTAACAGTTATAGAACACAGAGAAAAAAATAATCTTTTAGTACTTCCAAGCATTTACCGTCCTGGTACTGTAGGCCCAAGAATTCTGCCACACCATTGCTGTCTCTCCTTTCTCATTCTCATAGTTGATCTCAAACATCTTTGCAAAATTTTGTCCTAAACAATGAGAGGTTGCACCTTGTACACCACGACCAGTGTTTGGAATGAAAGCCTTTAAAATCAGAGTTGTAATTCACTAAGAGTACATCCACAAGAAAAAGGATTATGTCTCTGAAACAAAACAGAAAGATTACGTACCTCTACACTTGTAGTGTAAAGTCCCCCAGCAAACTTCTCATTTTCACTCTTCATACCTTTCACAACTGGGACTGCGAGATACTCTTCATATATGCGACGGTAAAGCTCCAATATTTGAAGGACCTGAGAACAGTAGCAGCAGTACAATGAAAGGAACTCTCGTAAATGATGTTAGGGTGCTAAATATTACCCTTGTTTGCAGCAAAAAAAAGGGAGAGACTGAATCACATACAAAAGTTTAAGTTCACATACCTCTTCATCTGCTTCTTCTTTCGTGGCGAAAGCAGTATGCCCTTCCTGCCAGAGGAATTCACGGCTCCTGCAATTAGATTGGTTAGGATAATAGGTTATCATGGCAAGCAAAAATTTATGTCCACACCAAGCCCAACATTTACTGGGAAACAATGACTAACACAAGAAAAAAAGCATTAAAAAAGATGAACAGAAAAGAAAGAAGTAGATGACAATTGAATACCGGATAAATGGAGTAGGGTTGCTGAACTCCCATCTAACCACATTGCACCACTGGTTCAGCTTCAACGGCAAGTCCCGGTGCCCCCTTATCCACTTGCTGAAGTACGGGTACATAACCGTCTCACTAGTTGGACGGATAGCAATTGGGACTTCCAAGTCAGATTTACCCGACTTTGTAACCCAAGCAACCTAAACATACATTCAAACCTGTTAAAACGATGTCTCTTTGTTACAAAAAAAGACAAGGGCTTAAGATTTACGATATACATACCTCTGGGGCGAATCCCTCGATGTGATCCTTCTCCTTCTCCAAGACACCAGGAGATACGAACAATGGGAAATAGCAATTCTTGACCTTCATTTTCTTGATTTCCGCATCAAAGAAACTCTAGAAAAGGGAGCATGGAAATTATTGACCGAAACTTTTTATCTCCCACTCTTGATTCCACTTCCTATAATGTGATTTCCTTAAGCAAAAAATATAGAACAAGAGGATACTCACTTGCATGATCTCCCAAATGGCCATTGACCATGGCCTAAGGATATAACATCCAGAAATATCGTAGTATTCAATCATCTCGTGTTTACAGACCTAGACAGACATAAAAAGCAGATGTCATAAACCTGCTTGGAACACAAACCTCAGAATACCCCGATATAAAAATCAGAAAATGAGTTATAAGAATGATAAGATTTCGGTTTAGATATACACATCTCCAATCTATACGGAAAATTATTTATTTCCCAACAATACTTCTACAGTTTCAAGAGATAAGAAGATTTTCTTAAAACTAATATCACACCTTAATCATTCTAGATGTTTCTTTTTTTTTATGAAGATGACACATCTTCTTGGAAGAATAAGTCCGAGAAGAAGTAAAACAACACGAATTTAAGTCTATGAAGAAGCATAAGTGCTTTCTCCGACCTCGTTTTCAGAGAGAGGGCAAGTTGCATTGATTTAAAGCCATTTGTGTACACAGTCTAACATGAAAGACATGTAAGCTAGACGTTCCTAAACAAAAAACATCTTACGAAGAATAATTGAAATAAACTAAACAAAGAAAACAAGAAGCGAAAGGAGTTATGGAAAGATAAGAATAGTTTGAAAGAAACAAACCTCAGAATACCACTCCCCGAAATTCTCATCTTTCTTAACGCTGAGTCCGAGACCTGTTTCCTTCTTGACCTCCTTCTTCTTTTTTCCACTGGGACCAGCCTTCTCAGCCTTGTCTTTCTTTCCACTTGGACCAGCCATTTTAAATCTTTTCTTTCTGAATGCATTAATCACAAAACAAAGGAATCAACATCAAGTTAACGGATTAGTAACATCTAAGCAATAATCGAAAGCTACTTCACGATCTGCGAATCCACTGAGACTATAATTATTCCTCAACAAAATCGTTGAAACTCAAAGCTACAGAAGCAGTAAATAAAACAGATTGAACTGAAGATAACATCCAAGGCGAACGAAGCGAGTGTCGACAATTACGTAGAGACCATTCAGACAAAAGGTTCCCCGAGATTCCAAGAGAATCGAACCCAAATCTCAATCGATTCAAAGAGCAACCAGAAATTTTTTTTTGAGAGTAAGAGAAGAGGACGCTCACCAATTCGCCGGTGAGCTGAAGACGGCGGAGACAAACACAGCAAAGATAAGAAGAGAGCGAATTCAAGGGAAAACGTTACAACTTGTAAACCTTTGACTCACTTAGCGAGCTTCGGTACTGAAATTACTCCAATTATTGTCCCCACGTGTTAGGGTGCGATCTATTTCGTAGCTAATTCTCAGAATACATGGGCCAGGCCCATCTTTTGGTCAATTAGTCAACGCTAAATGCATTAATTTACCATAGTAATGGAGAGAAGATGGATTTATTATATTCACAGTCGATCTATTGGCAACTTGACTAATGGTTAGGTCATGGAAAAGCTTTTTTTATTGTAATGGAAGAGCTCTTTAATTAATTTAATCGTGAGTAATCTCACATTTCATATAACTCGACCAATTATTAGCCCACAACATTGGCCCAATAAACCCCATTTTTGAATTGTCATATAACTCGACCAATTACTAGCCCACAATATTGGCCCAATAAACCCCATTTTTGAATTGTGGTCTTAACATTTAATTAAACTTATAGAATATGATTAAATTAAATGAAACACCGTGCAAATGATCACATGTTAAAAAAGCGTAACATTATCTTTCTTCATTAAATTTCAAAATTTCTCAATTGTCGGGAAGCGCAAAAGTGTTACCGCACCACTAAATCGACGATGACGTACCAACAGTGAGTCCAATGATTTGACCCACAAAAATTTCTCCATTCCCAAAAATTCGACAAGGAACCCTAGCGGAGGTTTTTTTTACTCCGATGGAGGCGGACGAGCGGCGGAACGGCGATTCGACGAGTCACAATCACCGTGCCCCGAAGAAGCCACGCCTGGCTGGGCTCTTGACCGAGTCAGATATCCGGTCCGAGTTCGCTCACCACCAGACCGGTGTTGCCAGAATCAACAACGGCAGCTTCGGGTGCTGTCCCGGCTCCGTTCTCGAGGCGCAGCGTGAGTGGCAGCTTCGGTATCTCCGTCAGCCCGACGAGTTCTACTTCAACAGTCTCCGTCGTGGATTGCTCGCTTCTCGAACCGTGATTAGTGACCTAATCAACGCCGATGACGTCGACGAGGTCTCGCTCGTTGATAACGCGACCACAGCTGCCGCTATTGTTCTTCAGAAAGTGGGGCGATGTTTCTCGGAAGGGAAGTATCGGAAGGAAGACACTGTAGTGATGTTCCACTGTGCGTTCCAGAGCGTGAAGAAGTCGATTCAGGCTTATGTCTCGCGCGTCGGTGGCTCCACTGTCGAGGTTAGGTTACCTTTCCCTGTAAATTCGAACGAAGAGATTATCTCGGCGTTTAGAGAAGGATTAGAGAAAGGTAGAGCGAATGGTAGAACGGTTAGGTTAGCTATCATTGACCATATAACTTCGATGCCGTGTGTATTGATGCCGGTACGAGAGTTGGTTAAAATCTGCAGAGAAGAAGGCGTGGAGCAGGTTTTTGTTGATGCAGCTCATGCCATTGGTAGTGTTAAGGTTGATGTCAAAGAAATCGGAGCTGATTACTATGTGAGCAATCTGCATAAATGGTTCTTTTGTCCACCTTCTATCGCGTTTTTTTATTGCAAGAAACGCAGTTCCGGGTCCGATGTTCATCACCCTGTGGTGTCTCATGAGTTTGGAAATGGTTTGCCTATAGAGAGTGCCTGGATTGGGACAAGGGATTACAGTTCTCAGCTTGTGGTTCCATCTGTGATGGAGTTTGTAAACAGGTTCGAGGGAGGGATCGAAGGGATAATGAACCGGAACCATGAAGAGGCTGTTAGAATCGGGTTAATGCTGTCTAATGCTTGGGGAACGAATCTTGGGTCACCTCCTGAGATGTGTGTTGGGATGGTTATGATCGGTTTACCTTCAAAACTGTGTGTTGACAGCGATGAAGATGCTACTAAGTTGCGGTCATATCTGCGGGTGCATTACTCGGTCGAGGTCCCAGTTTATTTTCTTGGATTGAGGGATGGCGAGGAAGGTGTGAAAGACAAAGATAGTGGGCTAATCACTGCGTATGTTCGGATTTCTCATCAAGTTTATAACAAAACAGAAGATTACGAGAGATTGAGAGACGCAATAACAGAGGTAGTCAAGCATCAGATGACTTGTCAAAACCTTCCTTGAGTGTAGGTATGCTTCAAATTTACAATCTAGAGTTGACATATGAGCGTTCTTGCCTCTTGGGTCTTGTAAAATGGTGGAACTCAAAACCATATGATAACTACTGATAAACCATTTTGTTTTTGATCTGTTAAAAGCAAATAACTTAAGATCCTGTTCCATGCTCTAGGTGATATTTTGTTTGAACTAATAGACCCATTAAAGGCGTAATGCTCTCTTCTAAACATGGATGTTTTGGTTTGGTGGCAGATAGTTTGATATATTCCACCGCAAGAGCCTGATATGGACTCTTCCATAGTTCATCAGATGGTTCCGTTGTAACAATAAGGCGTTAGAGGCGCCACCGGGAAAAGTTCCGGAGGTAACTTTATTGATGACCTTGGTGGAGGATCGACTTGCAATGGAAGAAGAAGCTAACCTTGAGGAGTTTTTTTAGTGTATTTTTAACGTTTAACGGCTTTGTATTGTTTATCAAGCAAATAAAATCATGTCCCTTTTTCTTCATCAAACATTCTGCTTTCAAATCTTGTGTTGTATGCATTCCGACGAAAAAAAATCCTTATTTAAGACTTTTTATCCCACATTTCACCGTCAGATTGATAAACATCTGTAGTTGGAGTATAAGACCCCCTCCAAGGTCTCTCTCAAGATTCTTAAGCTAATTAAATATTAAAATTAAAGATAAAATGTTTTTTAAGAGGAGAGACATTTTTCATGTAAGAGATTTAAGAGACTATAAGAGACGCTGATGTGTCACAATATGATTGGATGAAACATAATTTTATTTTTTGTAATTTTTTTTTGGGTTTAGAATTCTTTTTTTTTTGCATTCGGAAAACACTGTGAAAAAAAGACGATGTTTGAGTTCTGAAAAAAAGACGATGTTTACGAAGAAGACGATGTGAGGGAGCTCTGCAAATCGAATGGAGAAAAGGTTGTCTCCTGCATGCATGTCGAATCGAACTTCATCATCAGCGAGGAAGCTCTGCATATTTCTGGGTTTAGAAAATAGTTGGAGAGAAGGAAAGCTGGGTAATTTTCTTTGTATCTCTGCAATTTTTGTTTGGGTTCATCCGACTTAGATGATTTGGTTAGTTAAGAATCATCTTACACTAATCTAATTGGGTTTCGATGTTGCAATTGTGACTTCCAACCAAACCACCGACCATCCCGAGGCTGACAAGTTCCGATGTCTCCAACCACAAGCTCATGTTCGGTTTATAAATGTGGTGAATGAAGACGGCGGTGAAGAGGCCGTGACAGCCGCCGCAGCAATCGAAGATGGAGGAGATAAGGCGGTTTACAGAAGTAATCGATGCTCAGGACAAATTGTGTGGAGAGGTATTTATTTTCTGCTTTGAAGTTTATGGTTTATCTTCTGCTATGATGTTTGCGATTGATGGTGTGTAGTTAGAGTTATGCAATGCTTTCAGTTAGAGTTAGTGTTAATGCTTGGTGGATGGTTTGAGTAAGAGTTATAGTTAATGCGTAGGTTTTAGTTAAACAATGAATCAATGCTTGGTGGATGCTTTGAGTTAGAGTTAGAGTGATGGTGTTTAATGCTTGGTAGTTAGGTGTAGTCACTTTGATCTGACTGGTAACAACACAAAGAAAAGCTTGCAGCTCTAACTTAAAGCTAACAATATCTGCGTAAACACTAGCATCGATTGTTCATTAAGACACAATCTTTCTCTCTTTTATTAAGACACAAGCTTCTAGTTTCTTTATTCATCTCTTGCCTTCTCTTTTATTCATCTCTTTTCTTCTTCTTTTTTTCATCTCTTTCCTTCTCCTTTAAACAGTCGTTTTCTTCTCCTTTAAACACTGTTTCCTTCTCCTTTAAACAGCCATCGCAGGAACATATGGATTTACAAATCCATATAGTGACTCTGGCTTCATGAACTTCCTAAATAGTCAACAAAACCCACAACCCCTTCAACCCATTCGGTATGAAAATGTTTCACCAAGTATTGATCTTGTAAATTTTTTTTTTAAGAACCTCTGAGTTCAGAGATTCCCATTGGAAGCTTAAAAACTTAAAAACTCTTACAAATGACCCCTATGGGTCTCTCATCATTGGAGATGGTCTAAGAGCATGTTTATTGGAAGAATTTCTTATGGGTACTTAATTAATATTTAATTAATAAAAGAAGAGAAGAGAGAGAGATGAATCAGATGAGAGATAATCGAATGAGTGAAGTGAGAGAGGAGAGAGAAAAATTTTGTTTTTTCTCATTAATTCTATCCAATCAGATGGTTACATCTGCTTTAAAAACTATTGAAGTATCGATGCTTAAAAGTTTAAAACAAGTATCGATGCTTATATTCTTGTCCAATTTTTATTTATTTTAAATCTAAATAATACTAAGTACTTGTGATAAGTACCTGCGAACTGTGCTACTAATAGTCGAGGGACTAAACTGATTCAGACGAAACCTGTAGGGTCAAACCCGAATAAATTGATAACCCGATGGGTATTTAACTATTTATGGAGAATTGAGATTTTCAGTAAATATAATGTGACGTGTCCTCGATCGGACGGTTCGACGGATAAATAAACCCGGCAAGTAAAATTCTCTTTTTTGTTCGTAGAATTTATTTATTTTTGGATTCAGAGCCAACGAAAAGCTGCGAAGACGAAGGAGATGGCTGAAGAGACAGTGAAGCCTATTAGGTTACTAAATTTCGTCTCGGAGGAACAGGTTCTTCTCTTGTCTCTTCTCCTCTCTCTATCGAATCCCTAAATTTGTTAATTCAATTTTTATATCTTTTTTACTCTGGGCAATTGAATTTCGTGACGCAGTTAGATGAATCGAAGAAAGAAAGAGGCGAGAGAGTTGAAGATGGAACATTCCAGAGAGACAGGGCTCTGTACGAGGTTTTTCTCCATCACGCACTGCCGTTTCTTCATGAGATTATGCTTCCTTTTCCTCTTCCTCACTTGTACATATTAATTTCAGATTCTGAAAGAGAACAAAGACAAGAAGGACGCTGAGTTTAACGAACGATTCAAGCATAGTGAGTCACTACTTTTTCTTACTGTTGCAGTATATTGTTCGGTGGTTTCAAGCTCTTATCGCTTATAGTTTGCAACATCTTTGGATTAATTCTTCTTTCTGAAATCACAAATTTTGGTTTGTGCCTGTTGTTCGATGGTTTCATTGAAGAATAAAAGTCGTTAACTCTTTTTTTTTAATTGGATTGGCAGGACCACCCAAGGCGCTGGATGAAGATGAGACTGAGTTTCTCGATAAACTCGAAATGGTGAGCAATCTTTATATCTAAAGTTCGATAATTTCTTGCCTGTTGATTCAACCTATCTCATATGGACTGCATATAGCTGACCAGTGTAAGATATTGATGAGTTGATCTTTATAAGCTCTTGAGAATCAGTAATGGATGAAGAATCATGACTTTGATGGCTTGAGTCTCGGGGTCATTATCTTCTCTCCGTCATCTTAATACATTCGTTTGCATTTTTTTCTTATAGTCAAAGAGAGAATATGAACGACAATTAGCAAATGAAGACGAAGAACAGCTCCGTAGTTTCCAGGTAAATTTCTTGTGAATCTTGCGAAAATAGTTAACAGTTTCTAAAAATGCTAGATCAACCTTGGGTTACGGCTCCTTTTTTTAGGCAGCGGTTGCAGCACGATCAGCTATCCTTCACGAATCAAAAGAAGCAGCACCGTCACTACCAGCTCCAACCACTAAGGTGAGTATCACGTTGTTTCAAATTCGATCGTGTCATAAATTTGCGGAACTATTCAACTGAGCATTTGAACCACGTGGGCATTTATGTATCTTGATTTTTTTTTATAGGAACAAAAACCAAGCGGGAAGAGAAAACCAGCGACTCGTCCATTTAACGCGATCATAAAAGTCAAGCCACAACCGAAGAAGGTTAAAGCGACAGAGGAAGAGAAGACAGAAACCTCAGGGAACGGAAAACCGGCCAGCCATATCGACCTGACCTCTTTTGATTCTGCAAAAGAAGCCAATGTTACAGGTAAAACTCCTGCAGCTCTGCAAACGGGTTTAGCCTTAGTCTCATATAGTGATGAAAGTGAAGACGATGATTAACATTTTTGTTTCACTGACACAAGCATCTGTAAACACTGGCAATGAATCGAAAAATGAAAACTTTTTGGTCTTAAATTCCGTCGTAAATTTTACTCACAAATGGTGATTCATAAATAAATAAAGAATTTTTTATGTAGAAGCACTCAGATGAAGCTGTACTAAAGATGCATAAACACCATCTTTGATACTAATCAAAGTGTCATGCTTTCCTTTTTCCACGATGACGCCATTTTTAACCACTGCAATTACATCTGCGTTCTTGATCGTTGATAACCGATGTGCCACCACCACGGTGGTTCGGTTAACCATAACCCGGTCTAATGCGTCCTGGACCACACGCTCGGACTCAGCGTCTAGAGCACTTGTTGCTTCATCAAGTAGCAACACCTTAGGGTCTTTAACTATTGCTCTGGCTATGGCTACTCTCTGCTTTTGTCCGCCTGATAATTGAACTCCTCTTTCACCCACCATTGTATCATAGCCCTGCAACGGCAATTATATCTTTCAGTTTAGCATGAATCTGGAAATTAGGGTTTGGAAATTTCGATTAGGTGCCATTAAAATTACCTGTTGTAGTCCACTAATGAAGCCATGAGCGTTAGATAGCTCAGCTGCAGATACAATTTCGGTTTCAGAAGCATCTCCTCCTTTTCCGTAAGCAATGTTTGCTCTGATCGTTTCATTGAACAAAACCGGTTCTTGGCTCACTAGCCCGGTTTGCTGCCTTAGCCATTTTAGCTGCAAGGTCTTAATCTCAACTCCATCAAGAGTGATCTGACCCGAATTAGGATCGTAAAACCTCTGCAGCAGCGCAATCACTGTCGATTTCCCGCTTCCACTCTCTCCGACCAAAGCTATTGTCTGAAACAAATAGAAATATAAAAAGAACAGAATTTAGATGTAATCCATTCGAACTAAGCCGAATGTAACTAACTGTTTCACTCGGTTTATATACTTCATAAACTGGAAAAGCAAGGTGAAAACGTGTTTCAAGATCAAGGTCTAACCTTCCCCGCGCGAATAGAGAGACAGAGATCCTGGAAGATCTGAACATCTGGTCTTGAAGGATATTTGAAGCTGATATGACGAAGTTCAATATCTCCTTTAACATTTTCAAGAACTCTGCCAGACTCATCACTTGGATCAATCTTCGATTCTCTGTCTATAACCGCAAAGATGGATGCAGCCGCATTGCTAGCTTTGCTGGAATCAGGAGACAATGAACTTGACTGAGAAATAGCTACAGCCGCCATTGTTAAAGCAAAGAAAACCTGTTTTTGAAACAAAAACAAAAACAGTCTTTAGAAGAGGCAGAACAGAGATCTTGTTGATTTTCTGATGAATTCTGTTTTTTTGTTTTTACTCTGAAAACAGCATCGAAGGTTGTTTTGCCGTCGTCGACAAGCCTTGCACCGGCATAGAAACTGGCGGCGTAAGAAGCGAAGAGGACGAAGAAAGAAACTCCAAAACCAATACCACTAACTATGCCTTGACGTATTCCTGTTTTCATAGGACCTTCACATTTCTTCTTATACATTTTCATCACTTTCTCCTCTGCACAAAATGAAGCAACTGTTCTTATGCTCCCGACCGCATCGTTCGCCACTTGGCTCGCTTCCTCGTACATTCTCTGTTCAACAAAATATTTCCATTTCATCAAACAAAAAAAAGACAGAATTTTTCTTTTTCATATCCGGATCAGGCATTATCAGTTATGGAAACTAGTCAAAAACAACAACGAAAATCAAAACCAAAGAGATTAGATTTTTGTACCTTTGAATCTGCACTGAAGCCAACCATGAACTTCATGTATATATAACCATTAAGACCGATTAGCGGAAGCATGGCGAGAACAATGAAAGCTAACTGCCAGCTTGCCACAAACGCGATGACCAAACCTGCGGTTACAGACGCAAGATTCTGAACCGTTTGAGCCAATGCGTCTCCGACTAGACCACGAACCGTAGCAGCATCAGCAGAAAGCCTAGCTCCAATAGCACCACTTGAGTTCTCAGTCTCATCGAACCATCCAACTTCCATATGAACCACTTTCTCAAAACACATCGATCTTATCCGCTGCACCAGCTTACATCCGGCTATGGAGAAAAAGATCGTTTGTGCCGGGAAGACCACCATTGAAGCTACACCGAGAAGCATGAAGATGATCGCCCAAAACCTTGTGTCGGATTTTAACTGCTCAGGTGGTTTGAAAAATGCTTTGATCACGCTTGAGATTAGAATCCCGAAGATTGGAAGTATGACTCCGTTTAAAACCGCGGCTATAGATCCCAGTATAAGCATTGGAATCTCTGGCTTGTTTAGAGCAGCGACTCTAAGGAACGATACTTTCTTGTGTTCTGTTTCTTCTTCTTTGATCGGAGTAGAAGCCTCGCCTTGCTCTGGTTTTGCTTCGTTGTTTGAGTCTATTCCTGCTGGAAAACCAAACATGGAGAAAGAAGACGATCTTTTGCTTAAAGACCGGCTTAGAGACGACTTTCTCAAACTAGACCGTTTCATAGACTCCATTGATATCTTCTGCTCATCTGTCGAATCTTCGGATTGTTTGTTTTCTTCTTGCAGACGTATGAGCTGAGAGTAGGCTCCTTCGGGGTCTCTTAGGAGCTCAGAGTGCGAACCTGATCATACGTTTATATGAGTATCAAACAGGATTGGAGATATACATATACATGTATGTGTTGTTTAAGAATTTGAGTTTTACCTTTCTCAACGATCTTGCCTTGATGAATTACAGCAATCATGTCTGCGTTTCTCACCGTGCTCAATCTGTGAGCGACAACGACAGTTGTTCGGTTAACCATGATCCTGTCCAGAGCTTCTTGAACAATCCTCTCAGACTCTGCATCAAGCGCGCTCGTTGCTTCATCTAAAAGCAAGATTCTTGGATCTTTTAGAATCGCTCTAGCCACTGCGATCCTCTGTTTCTGCCCACCGGAAAGCTGAGTCCCATGTTCTCCTACCATCGTCTCTAAACCCTGAAAATTTACAGTTAATTTAGCTTACATCCACAAGCTTTGTTAAAGTGAATACATAGACAAAAACAGAGGAGAGGTGAGTTAAAAAATCTCTCAAGTACCTGAGGAAGCTTATCGATGAATTTAGATGCGTTTGCGAGCTCTGTAGCCTTACGAATCTCTTCGATTGTTGCGTTCTCTTTCCCGTAGGCGATGTTTTCCTTTATGCTCGAAGTGAACAGAACCGGTTCTTGACTCACAAGTCCTATCTTGCTTCTGATCCATTTTAGCTGAAACTCCTTAAGGTTAATTCCATCTATTCGAACTTCACCAGCTAGTGGATCATAAAACCTCTCAATCAGAGACACAACAGTTGATTTCCCACTTCCGCTCTGCCCAACTAGAGCCACGGTCGAACCACTCGAGATAGACAGCGAAAACCCTCGAAAGATCTGCTCTTCTGGCCTTGCCGGGTAACTAAAGCTCACATCTTTAAGCTCTATATCTCCTCGAACATCATCAAGAACTTTCCCGGTTGTATCGGAAGCATCAATCTCCGGTTTTCTTTTGATTGTTTCGAACATTTTGTAGGCCGCGGCTTGACCAGCCGCAAACGCGCTTAAACAAGGAGATGCTTGTCCTAACGACCTGAAATTAACGAGAAAAATCAAAATGAGATGACCAAACAAAAAAGTCAGGCAAAAAACAAATGGGATGATGATGAAGAAGCAAAGCTGACATGGAACCGGTAAGAACCGCGAAGATGATGATGAGAACTTGTCCTCCTGTGTAACCTTTCTCCAATATCATCTTCCCGCCATACCAAACAGCTAAAGCATAAGTGCAAAAGATGACTATATTGAGTGTACCAAGACCAAGCCCTGTGGAAGCTCCTTCAAAGACACCTGCTCTATAAGCAGAGACAAGATGCTTATTGTAATTGCTTATAGCTTGTTTCTCTCCGGTAAACGATGCAACGGTTCTTATAGATCCAACTGTTTGCTCAACCACAACCGCAGCTTTAGCATAAGAAGTTTGTCCACGAGAAGCCATTTTCGAAATGACGATAGCGAGAGCTGCACCAGACATCACTAGAAGTGGAATTGAAGATACCATGACTAATGTAAGAAGCCATCCTTCCATGAAAGCTATCACAAATCCACCAATAAACGTTGATACCAATTGTATAGCCTTCCCAACCTGCCATAAAGGAAAAACTAGAGTCTCTCAGTTTCGCCAAAAGATTTTTGAAACTTAGGAATCAAATTAACTTTTTTGTAATGTTTTTGGAAGTTACCTTCTCTCCCATGGCGTCTTGTATAAGCACAGTGTCACCTGACATTCTTCCAACAACTTCTCCTGTGTTGGTTTCGACATCGAAGAAAGCAATGTCTTGTCTCAGTATGGTTTTTAGATATAAACTCCTTATTCTTCCTGCTTGTCTCTCCCCAGAGATCATCCACCCAGAAACCTCTGATTACATAACCCAAAAAAACATCCATAAAGATCAAATCTTTCACATTCAAGCACTAAAAACCCCGCAAAAAGATTTTCAGACAATATCAAGGAACTCTTACGGAGAAGAGCTGCCACTAGAGTCCCAAGTCCAAGGTATACAAATTTCAGAGCCACCTGTAACATAAAATTGTATTACAAAATCAATCACTGTAAGGTTTTTCCTAAACAACAAAAGGTAAAAAGTGTAGAATCTATTTATCACCTTAGCGATCTTATCAGAAACATCTGAACTGTTTTGGTTTTGTCCGAACACGTCAATCACATCTCCAAAGAGGACTGTCATGATAGGGAAGGCAAGACCGTTACCCACAGCGCCTATAGTCCCAAGGATCATCAAGAGGATGTCATAGGAATCTGCAAAGGCAAACAGCTTGTAAAACGGCACCGTTTTGGTCTTCTCGTTTTCTTCTTCTTCTTTCCTCTTCTCTGTTTTCTTCTCCTCTTCTTTCTGAACAGACTCTGTCTTAACTTCTTCTTCATTGGTTCTCAAGTTTGAGATCTCTGCTTCTGCTCTGTTCGTTGACTCCACCTTCATTCCTTCCTCTGATTCCATTACACTATTCATTGTCTGGTGATCCTATTTGAAAGAAACCAAAGCTTAGGAGTGGATTAGTTTGTGGATTTAAAGGTCGTGCAGGGTTGAATATATACTTTTGTTCATTACTTGAAGAAGAAGCAGTGGATTTTTCAATCTCAAGGACTCGTAATTTTACTTGCTAAATTCTCTGTCCATTTGAATTCATTCAAGTTGAGTTTGGGGCCTACAAAGACTAGAGTCGTCAAAAACGACCTTGTATATAACATATGACGTGACAGGACAGACGCCAATTGGTCTGGTCTCTTCTCTGCGGATAAGTCTTCTGATCACCTAATTTTTATTGAACAAAAACAGAGGAAGCTTCTAATACCAAAGAATATTTGTTTCATACGGTTTCTCGTGTATTTTTCTTTCAAACTTGATTGATTTTGACTAACCCACTTTTACTTTCCTTTGTTCATACAGTGTGTAAAACTTTCGTCATTAGCCGTATTTTTTTTTTATTGTCATTATAAGCAGACAAAAAATATGAATTCATATTGATTTCTTTTATATGCAACTTGCATGACATTTCTTTATTTCCCGGGCCATGTCATTATGATAAAACGATTAAAATATCACGAGATAGCTATTGTTTAATTGACATATGGTACGTAAACTTTTTTTTCTGTACAGATGTTTCATTTTGATTATTCCTTTACTGCTTTACATATGGATTGCACTTCAGTACGTCACGAATCAAATTTCCACTCTGAATTTTCAAGCAGCCAATGAATTTTCTTATTAGTTACATATAAAAATCATTTGTTTTATATTGGAATTGTGATTATTCCATTTTGTTAAGATAAAGATATTTTACTTTTCATCAGTAGGCCCCGGAACAATACGATGCCAGCAGGGACGATGCTTAACCCTTGTATACATACATACACACAATAATATAAGCAATCTTATACATACACAAGTAAAAAAAATATTTGTTTTTGTTTTGCACGTGAAACAAAAGCAATCTTATACAAACTTCATCCCAAAATGTCTAGAACCCTATATTGTATAAAAGTAGCCAAAAAAAGAGCCCTGATCCCCAGAGACGAGGTCGTATATCGTTACCCTTTTTTTTTTTACATATAATCACATACTGTTTTATTCGTTAATTTTTTTGGTTTTCTTACAATCCAAGCTGGACAGGCACGTTGGCTTCTTGAATCCAATTAGCCGGACCGACCCAGTTAGCGACGGTGAAACCTTCAACCTCAGCTGCAGACTTAGCCACCTTAGCAAAAGGAGCCCTTGTAGCAGTGTTAGCTCCTGGTCCACGGTTATTGAACTCAATGTATCTAGCTGTCTTGTGGAACTGCTCTCCTTTCCACTCGGTCCATCCTTCTGGTTGAATCACATCACTAATCTCAGTTCCAATAACCACGGTGGTGGCATATTGCTTCCACGGCCTTCCTAGGTACGATTTGATGGTTGCCTTGTCAGCTTCGAGCTCCTTGTCCCGTAAAATACGGCAGTTATGGAGAACGATACCGATCTTGACCGCTGTACCCTTCTCGTTACCGTCGGCTGTAACGTAGTTGGATTGTCCTGGAGTTCCCTTTCTGATGAGGATCAGAGAGTTTTGGATCACTGTCGCTGACTTTCCAAAGATGAAATCCACTGTACCGGACACAACAATGTTCCTGTAGAACTGACGTCCGTTGTTGACGTAGAGTGTGTCTTGGTAAGCGTCAAATCTACAGTTGAATATGACCGCACGGTCTCCGTTCACACGGAGTGCGACCGCTTGGTGTCCCAATGGACCAGCAGTGTTCTTAAACCCGATCCATTTCGCCATGAATCCCTCAGATTCAACCTCTGCATGCATGCATGTGTGTATCTTTAGTTAGATATGATCAACGTTATCTAGCTTTTAATTAGATGTCAAAAATAAACAAAGGTTAATTTAAGGGATGGGACTTACGAACGGTGCCACTAAGTGAAGTAGTGGTTCCAGGGCTAAGTTTAACACTTCTGTTAAAGGTAATGATGGTTTTGGTAGCACCATCACCAAACATGAAAATGTTGTTCTTCTTCTTAGGGATAGTGACTTGTTCGTTGTAGATACCAGCCTTGATATGGATAATGCAACGTCCAGGGTTTTTCTCAGGGCAAGCGTTAACCGCCTCGGAAACCGTCTTAAACTGTCCACTTCCATCCTTAGCCACCACATGAGTCGCTTTGATCTTACCGCCGCCACCGCCGCCTTCACCGATACCATCATCACCAGCTGCAGCGCCACCACCTGGAGCGCCACCGCGTCCGGCCTGAGCCATAAGCTTCCTGTCTTTACTAGGGAACCATTTGGGTAGTCCCTTGGCGTCGGTGTCTTCAAGAAGGCGACGTGCGGGAGCTCCTACTCCTCCGATGGTCACGTTCTTCATGTCGTCTAGCTTGACACCCATTTGGGACATAGCCGTGACAACTGAATGGAAGATATCGATAGCGTTGCTAGTCAAAACCTTGGAGTTAGAGATTCCTTCTCCCATGATTTTCCTTAGCTCCACTTCCTCAATGTCGTCAAGACAATCGGTTTGGTAATTGAAAACTCCGGTTAACCATTGTTTAAGCTGGTCAAGCTTAGTTCCGCTCTGCTGAAGATCTTCACCCATTTCTTCAACAATGGTCTCAAGATCCTCAAGAGCGTAGGTCAACACTCTCTTGCAGTAATCAAGAACGGCTTTGCTAGTCGCGTTTATGTTTTTCCCCATACCTCCTTCGGTGGAAGCTGTGAAGTTTGAGGATTTTGTGATGGCGTCTTTTGTAGCAAGCATGAAGGCTTTGATAAGCTTGCTTGGGTCGTCGCTTTTGACAGGCTCGAGTGTTTTTGCGCATGAGCCTTTGTCTGTGGTTGTCTGACAAATTGTCTGAACCGCTTTCTGATGCGAATTCAGAGGAGCATTCTTCTCGCCACCGTCGCCTCTATTAACAAAGGTGACAACTCCTATGGCAACACCCACCACTAGAAGGATTGATGCCACAGATATCACAATTTTTCCTACCGCCATTTTTCAATTTTTTTTTATATGTATATATTTTTCCCCTTTTCCGATTTTTTTTCCTTTTATGTATTTTTTTTTTGTCTCCCTCCAGTTTTATTCAGGAGGTTAATAGGAGAGGGAGTTTTTTTATTTTTATTGAAACAGAGCCCGGTGGGTTATTAATGGGGCTGATAGAGATTACGGTGCATTGTTGAGAGATTCTTATAGGAGTCCTAGTTTCTAAAATTAGGGTTTGCATGAGTTTTGCATGGTGGGAGAGATTTCAGGTCGTTGAATGGCTAAAAACTCTCTAGTCAAATATTGGCTATCAGTTTTAAAAACTGGTCACCACAAAATGATTTGATAATGTCCTGATCAAGAGGTGTAAGTTCGATTACTAAAAATAAAAAAATTATTTAAAGATGATTATAAAACGTTCGTGCCAGTAACTAGATTACTTATGTACATACCCTCTAACTCTGATCTTTTAAATTTTGGGCTCCATGTCAAAAACAAATTATTTTGGACTATTGGTTCATAAGTTTAGTGATTTATCCGAAAGAAAACTTGCCGAAAGCTTCTTTTCCCGAGAGTTTGCTCTCATCCTCGATAAGTTAGGATAGTTCTATTTATGGGTTTAACTTTAAAGTTTGTGTTGCAAATTGCCACACTAATAATAAATGCAGATATATGTACATACATTCATCTAAAGTTTTTTTTTTCTTTTCTGGTTTTTGCTTTAAGGCTACATCTAAATTTCTTCAATCCTTTGACCCAAAAAATATCTTCAATGCAATCAATCAGTGACGGGATCATACGGATCCATACTCTTTTATTTATTGATGGAATAAATATTAAAATTCAAAAACTACGTTTGATTGGAGTGTTCATGATTTATATACGATACCAAGAAAAATCTTATATGATGTCAAGTCATCATCGTCATTTTTTTTCATCTTAAGATATTCGATGTAAGATGTCGAATATATCTAATATAAAAAAAAAAATCAATTTTCATTTATATATTTATATCCTTTCCAATCATCACGAAATCCGTCCGTACATGTGTAAAACCTACAACATAAATCACAAATGACGCACAATCATACATGGACAGAACCATCTATATATGATTCCAGTAGCGATCATCGCTTTTAGGCATAATCATACGATATTAATTACATCCAAATTAAACCCCTTAATCGATCAATAATAATAATCCGACAGTGGTGGCGGTCGGGGAGATGTGTCTTCCTCGTTAAGCTTGACCTTAATACCAAAAGTCTTGAAAATAGTATTCAAACCATTAAACACATCAAACGAATCACTGCTCAGATTCTTCCCAACTCCAATTCCAAACTCCACTTCATTGAACAAATTCTTATCTTCGATATCATCCAAACAAGTCGAATGATACCCCATGATCGACATTAGCGTCTTCTTACAAGTGAAGTAATTATGAGCCAACGTCGTTACATCTTTCCCCGTAGCTTTCCAAAACTCGGCGAAATCTTCCAACGCATATTTCAAGTTTTTCTCGCAGCTGTTGATCGCTGCAGCTGCGTTTGCGTTTGATTTGTGTTTTGGTTTGATTCCGGAGAGGAAAGATACACTATGTTTCACGGAGGTTTCAGCCGCAAACGCTAATGCTCGGATTAACTCGATAGGGTCATCGGTAGGAACGTGTTTAAGCGTTTTGCAGCATAGACTTGTGTTTGTTGGGATCACGGTGCATATTCCCGCGACTGCTTTTGCATGCGGTGTGAAAAGGTAGTTTGTGCGTTTGGCTGGTGTAGCGATTGCGGTTGCGGTTGCCGTGACGGATAAGAAGAGAAAGGCTAGTTTGATTGGAGTGTTGTTCATGATTGTGTTTTTGTATGAACGGAGAAACAAGGATCGGAAAGGAACGGATTCCGGAGGAAGAAGAAATCTTAGATATAGAGAGATGCTTGTTTTGTGTATTTATAGTTCGTCTATATTTGGTAGATATTACATCTTTTTTTTTTTTTTTTTTCTAGGTTCTTTTTTAAATATACATATGGTAGCGAGGGATTTGCGGGTGTATTTTAGGTTAAACGGTTAAGCCTTCGAATTTGCCATATTGTTTGTTTTAAGTTTTCATGCAATTATGTAAATATCGGTTTTTAAGTTTTAACTAAGTGTACTACTTTTGTTGCTGAAATAACAGTTATAGTTTTTCTTTTCTTTGCTAAAACAACAAATAGAGTTCGAAAAACTTTATTATATTAATATAGTTGAAAAATTTAAATATATTTTTTTTAACGTCTGCATATTTCATTGATATTAAATATATTATTTATACTTGTAAGGTAAAAAAATTAAATAACCTTTTAAATTTTTTGACTGATTCAACCATTAAAATAAACTTAACTTTTGTATATAGATTTTTTTACTGTTAAAAAGTGCATATAAATTTTGTACTAAAATATTAAATTTTACAGTTGTATTGAGACAATGGTCGTGATATTGACACGTGGCAAAGCTATGAGCCTCAAGCGGCAATTGAGGTGCATATACTGTATTCGTCCGGCTCCGAAAGGCGAAACGTGGACGCGGGAAGGTTTTTTGGAATATGCAGGTGGAGGAAGCCAAGATCTTGCTCGGTTTTCCTCCCAATTCTCGCCCCGATCCTTCTCAGGTCTTTGAATTTTCCTATTAACCTTTGATTTGTGAGCTATACGGGGACTTTTCGATCACTGAATTCGATAATTAGGGTTTTCGCTCGATCGTTTGATTTGGTGATCACATGGTTGAATCTCACTGTTTTTTCTCCGAATTTCGAAAATTTTCAATTTGGAGACCTAAAATATTCCGTTGAGAAGAATTGAATTTAGTTGGGTATCATAAGTTGAGTTCGTTTAGGTTTGCGAATTGCGAGATGTTATGGGATTGATTTTTAGAACGTGTATGATTTGATTCGGTAGGTTAAAGCTGCTTACCGGAAGAAAGTTTGGGAATCGCATCCTGACCTATTTCCAGATGATCAGAAGCTCGGTGCAGAGTCTAAGTTCAAATCGGTGAGTGTTATCATTTCTTTCTTTCCTTTATCACAAGAAACTTAAAAGTTAAGTCTTCAATATGTTGCAGATATCTGAAGCTTACTCTTGCCTTGAGTCTGGTAATTTACTGAGATTGACCTTTCCTTGGCTATAGCCAAAACCACTTTCATGGTCTGCAAAAACCCCAAATGAGCTAGTAGATTCGTATTAGGTGAAATCAGGTTTTGTGATGAAAGTTGACCGGAAAATTTTGGGCCATTGACGGAGGACTAAATCCCGGTATTTTTAACGAGCATTGTGCATTTACATACCTTTAATCTCCTTAGAGTTTATACCTCATTTGCTTACCTTTAATCTTTCTTGAATTCCTGGAGAGTTGAAATAGTTTTTTGCTACTGATATCGCAGGTTCAAGCTATTGTTGTTGGAAGAATGAAAAAGAGACAATTTGACATACTAATCTGTTCTACCAATAACAATTCTAGCTCATTTGGGGTTTACAAGTTTGCAGATCAGGGCACACTTACTCTGTTTTTTTTAATTACATATCGATCATTCTGAACCATCGTCTCTAGTAAAAGATCAAGCTTTCTAAGTTCTACACATTGGTCTCTCTTTACAGGTGATATTAAAGGTCAACAGTATTCTAGATCAGGTAAATAAATACGACTCAACACTCAGTATGTGTTTTAACTTTTAACGAAGCGTAGTGGGGTTACACGTTGATAATGACACTGTAAAACATTGAAAAGGTGTGTATTCGAGGGTAGTCAAGACGGGAGTTCCACGGACTTATGCATATGCCAAAAGAGGTAACGCCTGGTTGATCGGTGCACCTTTCCTTTTGATCGTCCTTGGAACCATCGGGCTTGGTGGAATCAAAGCTAACAGGTCTGTCTTCCACATGTTTTGCTTCTTCTTTTTTTCACTCTTTTCACTGGTTTATCGGTGAGATCCTTTAATTTTAATCTCTCTCGACTTAGCTAAACTGTAAATTTGAAAACACTACTGTTTCCTTCTTAATAAAAATTATGATTGGTGTGTTTTGGATTGTTTTTTGTTGGGCATTTGCAGGGCATATAATATGCAAAAACAGACGTTCCCGTCTCACAACCCTTTCCTTCCTTGATTCAGAGTCTCTTTCAACACAACATTTTGTAGCATTGAGAATAAGTATGTTTCTGTTTATTTTTCTTAACTGTACAAATGTTATTACAGAAACATTTAAGTACTACTTGAGCATCTCTATATTAAATGAAATATATGAATATAATATTGTAACAATTAGGTTAGATTATATGGTGTACTTATACTTTGATATATTTAACCAGGATACACCTAAAATTCGTCTCTTTATTATCTTGAACTAATAGTTTTCAATAAATCATTGATGGAATAAAGATAGTTTTTCAATACCATTGAATAGATAAAGGTATCACACAATAAGGTACTCTCGAAACATGATTCAGAAAAAGTCATAAGTAAAAAAAAAAAAAAAGAGTTGAAATTACAGGTATTATCCCCCCAACGACATTGGAATATCACGTAAATATCTGAGACCAAAAGAAACAGATTGCGGAAACTTTAGTGATGCAGAGATTCCCAAATCAACGTTTCTCTCCCATAAACTTGTTTATTCTCCAGCAGATGAAATTAGGCAACCTTCTTCTTGATAGTAACAATAAGGTTTTTATGAACCCAACCATGTACCTTAACCATCCCCCAAGTTTCTAGCTTGACTCACTTACCGACTAAAGTAAAATGAAAAAAAAAAAGTGCATCTACTACTATAGTACTACTACTTAGACTTCAGAATCATTGCATTCTGCAGTTTTTGATATGGAAAACACTAGTTTCCATGTCTTAGTTCTCTAGGTTTGGTATTCAAAGTAGTAACCCACATATGCTCTGCTTATGGCTAGTTGGCTACCACTACATCTTCAGTATTTCACGGAACAAAGATTGATTTTCAGGCAACAGTTTGGATACCTGTCACGGTTTCAGGATTATCTTTCTCGTTTGTAGTTTCCGCAGCAAGGTTAATAGTAATTGGTTTCCATCCTGTTTGATGATGAGTAATCCATTTCTTCGAGGTTGTTGTTATATTCAAGATCTGAACTATGTCACCTAAAGTGTACTCTTTTAGGCATTCCTTTTTCAGAACTTGTGCAGCTTCGTACCTACATATTAGATAAGAGGAAGAAAAAAAAGAACTTTAGAATCATTCATCAACAAAGAACCATAGATTCTATATGTAAACAAACTTTCAAACCTGCACTGAGTTGACATAATCGCCTCTCGCCCAGAAGACGAGGTTAGAAACTGTTGTATTCTATCCCAAGTTGGTTTTGGGTATTGCTTAGGGTTGCCCCCTAAAGGGTTTACACAGTTCCATAGAGCTTCATCTTTGCCAATGTAAAGCTTTAGTTTTCCCATATTTATCACCATGATCATATGATGCTCCTTTGCACCGTCTAAAGCTTTCTTTACATCAGTACCGCGATGCTTTGGATCTCCATACTGAATGCAATCCGAGATATTGGGCTCGGTGGGCATAATTTTTTCGGTTTTCAAGATGTTTAGAGCATGTAAGATAACGCCTATAAGGCCTTGAACATACTCAGATGGTGGTGGGCACTCTTGTGTTCCCCACACACCATTGCTGGAACCAGATACAGTAGTAACAACTGAAGGCTGAGAAGGTAAGACTCCAGGAGTGGAAGAGTTGGTGTAGCCTGTGGTTGTAGTAGAACGAGTTACTGGGGCACTACTACCACTACTAGACCGTGGAAGATTACCTTTATTTGGACCGTTTAAGCTAGGAGAATGTGAGGATTCCATCTTTGGTCTGAACTCATGTCTAACCTGAGGATTGAATTTAGGACGATTTTGAGTTTGACTCGGGTATTGAGATACACTTAAGTTGCTGAGATCAGGTGCAGCCATTAGAGGAGGAGACGGGTATCTAGGGCCATCATTTCTGGGATGCATTGGACGGAAACCATTACCAATAGGAGGATGCGGATTCTCTGGGCGATAAGGTCGGAATACATTACCATAAGACGGCCGGATATTAGGAGCACCAGGCCTGGGAGCATTGGGATAATAGTTCTGCGCATGGTTTGGGATGCTATTTCCATTATTCCAAGAAGGATCAGGGTTGTTAGGGTAAGGTAGTCTAGGAGGAAAAGGAACAGGTCGAGGAGGATAATTGTACTGATTCTGAGGATTACTCATCACATTACCAGGGAAAGAGTTAACATTGCTAGTGGGTAAAATGGGAGCAGGTATGGTGGTGGAGACAGATGGCTCACTACTTGTAAGAAACTCATGTGGTTTCTTAAACAGCTTTCCTTGAGTGTTCTGTTGCTGACGTTGGTTATCGTTAGGCTTATTTTCCTGAACCTTTGGTGCGGCAGGCTGATGATTTGACGATTTCGGAAGGTATTTAACCTTGAATTTGTTATCAAAATTTCTTCTGGTGTCAGGATTTGAATCCAGAGGTTGGCTTGATGGAACATACTCCTGAGTTGGGGATGTCTCTGAGACAGAAGAAGTTGGTAACGTCGCATTGGCAATAAGCTGTAAGCTTTCGGTTCGTGAGAGAGGGCTTCCACCAGCTGAGAGGCTTGTCCAAAGCCATACTGTCCTTGCAGCATGAACTAGCGGCACCGATGCTTTGCGAGGCTGCGCCAAAAGAACATTGTACCGTCTCAGCCTCAACTGGTGAAGAGCATCGGAGAAGTCTCTATCCCCTGAGATCAGCATAAAATTTGCAGGCGCAGGATTATCCAGCGCCCAACAAAACATGTTTACAAGAATCTTCTTATCACTCGCATCTTTTGCTCCTGGAGCAACAACACACATCAAAACCAAAAGGAAAACACACTCTTCAGCTACTAAATTCAGAATCAAACCAAAACAGTAAACAACAATTTCGACTCAACGAGTGTAGATGATACAATAATAGTCGCGCAATAAGGGTTTAAGAAAATTCACCGGCGGGGACGTGATTGAGGGCGATTCCGGTGGAATTAAGGGCTTGCTGTATCGCCGGAGGAATACGATTCGTGTCGCCAAAAGCGGAGATCGAGACTGGACCACAGTAATTCATCTTCACAAGTGCAGAACTAATGTTCTGCGCAATTCCATGAGCATCGACACCTTTGGGGACTTGACAATTCTCTATATCCCACCACACTGCAGTCTTCGCCCTCACGTACTGCGCCTCCGCCATCTCCGCCGCCACCACCGGCATCGTTTCAGTATCTGCTTCGCCCGCCGTGTTCATCGCCGCCGCTACCGTGCCAGAAGGGCATTCAATTATTATTATTAAACCATATAACCTTTTTCTCTACCCTTTATATTACTGATGAAACTATTATGATTGGACGCTTTTACCCTTGAGAGTAGCGACGATTCGTGGCACTCGAGGGGAAGGGTAATTTCGGGAATGAATGATGAAGCGTTTCGATTGGTAGAGAATCGTGGTGATTGCTTTGTTGGCATTAGTTGAGACTAGAAAGTAGTGCTTGGATACTGTGGTTAGTGGAAAATTCTCGTGCATTTGTTCGTTTTCTAATTGACGTTGACTTAGACGAAAGACTCAGCATTTTCGTTTTCTGCGAAGAAACCTCCCTTCCGTTTCCTAGTTTCTTCCAATTTTCTGTCACGAGAAACCGACGTTTACGTCGTCACTGTCCAATCTCTTAACTTTCCACAAGGATAATAATATGTCCTTTTTTTTTTTCTTTTTCTTTTCCCTATCGATTAATGCATTTTACTAGACTTTCTCGGTTAGGCTTTTATCATTTTTATTTATACCGATTTCTATCTTTGATGTTGATGTTTATTTTATCAAATATGTACCCCGAACAGTAGAAAACCGAGAACAGTAATACACTTATAAACGGTCTATTCCGGCCAAAATCGGTCCAGGACGCCTAATTTTTCGGTTCAGTAATTATCATAACATTGGATGCTTATATTTGATATCAATACATATACATATACAGTTCACAAGAGTTCCTATAGTCAATCTTAACACATTCACAGACACACTTTGCTAATCTTCTTCTTTATCTCCATTTTTCATTATATACTATGTTGGCTATTTTCTTCTTCGCTTTAAGTATTTAACATATCTTTAAATTAACTAAGTTATTCTATTAACGCCCTAATTAATATGATAAACAAAATATCGATTCAATTTGTTTTTTTGTTTCAATTACTCCCTCTTCTTATAGTTTTTTTTCCCACAATCACATGTCAGTTTACTGGAGAAAATAATTAGGATTAATGTCGTAATTCTATGAACACTATGTTGATAGGGTTGTATGGGAAGGTAAATCAATTTTCCTTCTTAACACTAAGGTGCTCCTCCTCCGGCAGGTCCGGTCCGAGCATTCAACAATGGTTGAAGAGCCTTGACGACAATGCTCATGTTTGGTCTGAAATCAGCTTCGTATTGTACACACAATGCAGCAACAGCAGCTAACTACATTATCAACAAAAAGCCGAGTAAACGTAAAACATTTGACTCGAGGAAGCTGCTATTATTTCCCTTCTTCTATTGTGTTCTATAATCATTAGTTCAAGAATGGTTTTGGTCTTATACCTTAGCAACAGCTTTTGGAGGGTAATCTCCTCCGAGTCTTGAATCAACACACTGCTTAACTTTGTCTTCGCTTAGCTTTGGTGTAGCCTAAGGGAAAAGCAGCAGAGTTTTGATTGTTTAGTAAGATTTTGTAAAACCGATAAAATATAATGTGAGATTGTTCAAATATCTTTGGAAAGAGATCGGTATTACCCATGTGACTAAACTTTGCTGGCCTCGAGGCAATGTATGATCAACGGGCTTTCGACCTGTTAGAAGCTCGAGCAATACAACGCCGAAGCTGTACACATCACTCTTGGCACTCAATTGCCCAGTCATTGCATATCTGGTATCAAGAGAGAGAGAGAGAGAGAGAAAGAGAAAGAGCATATGAGAGAGAGTGAGAGGCGTTGAGCAATGGAAAGTTGACAACAAACATACTCAGGGGCATGATAACCAAAGGTTCCAAGAACACGAGTGGAATGAAGGCGTGCGGCCATATCAGGAGCTTGATTTGAAAGATCAAAGTCAGCGATTTTAGCTACATCATCATCAAAGATTAGAACATTGCTGGACTTTATGTCGCGGTGGATGATATGTGGATTCGCCTTTTCATGCAAGTACTCAAGCCCTCTTGCTGCTCCAACCGCAACCTTCACTCGTTGATGCCACGACAAGAGTGGACCAGGCTTTGCCCCCTTGACACCTTTTCTCCCTGAGGAACCATGGGATATGTTATAACACCAACAACAACATAAGGGAAGTAAAACAACAAATAAGTTCTACATTTTGTACCATGAAGAATATCATGAAGAGATCCATTTTGGGCAAACTCAAAGACAAGTATCCGCGAGTTCCCATCAACAGAGTAACCAAGCAGCTCGACAAAGTTATCATGCTTCAACCTCGAAACCATAGAAACCTGCAGGTTCATTTTTCCAAATTAAAAAATGCAGAGCCACATAATAATCCATTCAACGATAACCATAAGTAAGTGCATATCCACCAAACCTGGGCAAGGAATTCATCGTCAGGCTGTTTGTTAGAGTCTAACTTTTTGATTGCTGCAGGCTGATCATTCTTTAAGAACCCGTGATATACTCTTGCATATGATCCTTCACCGATGAGAGATTCTGATCCAAAACCATTTGTTGCTTCGATAAGTTCATCAGCGAGAATGGCGGCTACTTCTATAGGCTGCACCTTCACAGTTTTTTGTGCAATTTCAGAGGTATTGCGCCTTCCATCATTTCCTTCAATTCGACAACACAGATTTGAACAAGAGAGACACGATTACTGATAGTAAGAGAGACTATTGTATGAATTAGGGAGAAGAAAAAGGAAAAAAACACAAAATTAAGACAGATACCTCCAGATTGTTTGGTCATATTCTGGCCTCCATAATCATTTGCTCCAAGCAAATCATCTTCACGGCAACAACCGAAACAGCTCATTGTTCCTGTCTCTGTAGCATTCAGTTCACAAGATCACAATTGGAATAAGAATATACACACATAGAAAATCCCAAGTCATTCAAAGTATCAAACACACATTTTTTTTTTTTTTTTTTTTAAAGTATCAAACACACATTACACAGAAAATCGAGCAAAAACCCAACTTGCGGTAAAGCGTATATTATAGCTAAAGCCTCGCATTTTCCAAGTGAATGAAGCGACTTAGAAGAATCTTCAGAAATTTTTTTTTTTGACATCAAATCTTCAGAAACTAAACTTAGCGAATTCGAACAAATATTTCAGAAAATTCCGCGGCACTACTAATCTAGAACCAATAATCACCTTGATCTAAAGCAGAAACACAAAAATGAAGGATTATCAGTAGAGCGAGAGGTTTTGAAGATCTCAAAAAAAAATCGTCTCTAAAAGCGTTGGAGCAAGCAAAATATCTAAACTTTTGCGCTGTGATAAGAAAGAAATCGAACGTCTTGGTAGGACCCACTTTCTTCCTGACTGCTCTAACTTGGACTTAAATGTCAACGTTTGACAGCTAGTCAACGTTCGTTTCACGCCGTTGGTGATGACGACAAACGGGATCAAATCGCCGATTGCCATAAAAATAAGTCAGTCCATTTTAAGTGGGCCTATAAAATATGGGTCATTGAAATCAAGCCCATTCAGAGTATCATTATCTAATCATCGACCCAGTCGGGTCCCATTATTTAAATTGGGAAATTCGTATCGGTGCAATTCAAGAGTAAAACAGTGTTAACAAGGAACAGAGAAGACGAAAAGAACAGGAAACCGTTGTAAACAGAGCGGTTTCAAGAGTTAAAATATAAACCGCCATCAAAAACCAATAAGTCGCAACCTTTCAAAAGCATATATAGGAAGAAAACAATTCAACCCTTTGCTTTCCACCGAACACACTCTACTTCTTCTTTGAATCCGTTTTTTTGTTCTCCAAAAATCACTAACAATGAATTCAAGAAGAAACCGAGGAGACAGATTATCCAGTTTACCGGAGCCCCTTCTGGTTCTGGTTATTTCTAACTTACCCTTCAAGGAAGCCGTGAAAACCAGTGTTCTAGCCAAGCGCTGGAAGAATCTCCATCGTCAAACGACCAATGTATCTTTCAAAGAATCCGATTTCGTGAAACGCTCTGTTTCTAATGATGAAGAAACCAAAAGGGATGCTAGGGTGTCGTTCGTTCGCTACATGGTTAACTGGGTTTCCAAATATTCCGGTGCAGCCATCGAAAGATTCGAACTTTGTCTCTCCAAACCGGTGGGCTTCGAAACAGAGATCACGTCACTGATCGAATTCGCCGTCTCCAAACAAGTCAAGAATCTAGTTCTTGATTTCTCTGACCCTTCTTCGACTACGGGGAATCAAGCAGCAGTAGGAGCGAGTGTGTTTCAGTTGCCGGAGTGCGCATACAGTCTCGCGACTCTGGAGTCGTTGAAACTATTCGCATGCAATTTTGATCCATCAAGGCTTGTGAGACCGGGCTCGTTGAAAAGTCTATGTTTTGGTTGGATCCAACTCGGGAAGATCATGGCTTTGTTATCAAAGACTCCTCTTCTCGAGAGTCTAAGCATCCAAAACTGCTCGAATGTTGGCCTCGAAGCGATAACCGAATATAACAACCGGTTAAGGGAATTGATATTCGAGAATTGCAGTTTCGCCACGGTGCACTCTACCCTCGACCTGCCCAATATTCAGATCTTCAAGTACTCTGGAAAAGTTCATTACTTTCAGTTCATGCAAGTGAATAGGAGAATGGAAGAAGCATACTTGGATTTTGGTGCAGAAACAGAGTACGGCGAAGAGACGGGAACAATTCTCTGTGGTCTCCTTTATGATCTTCTATCGGCTAGGAAGTTAACGGTCTGTCGTTTTCTCATCCAGATGATCAAAGACAGTGAAGACCCGGTTCGGTTACAAGCACCGATGGAAACAAGGCATTTGGTAATCAAGACGAGTATGGTACCGTATGAGTTTATTGGGATTAGACTCATGATCAATAGCTGTCCTGACTTGGAAACTCTCACTTTCCAAATGCTTCCTCCTATACATGCGCCAACGACCAATCTTGGATTCTGTCCAAAAACGTATTGGACGTACGTAATCAGCCACAAGTGTTTGAAGAAGACCCTAAAGGTTGTTGAAGTGAGGAATTTCACTGGCGGCGCGTACGAGTTACAAATTTTGAAGTTTTTGATTCGGTTGGGTCTTGTATTGGAGAGGGTAGACCTCTATTTGCCGGTGGGAACTCTGGAGGCTCACAAGACCTTGGCACGTGCTACAGTGAGGAAGCTTTGTAAGTCTGAGGCATCTTCGAATCGTCTGTGCATTCGTCTACACGATGATTGAAGATATCATCCAAGAATCAGGGATTGATTGTTTAGTATGTTTTCCAATGAATTGATGTGGTTATTGCTGATTGTTTAGTATGTTTTCCAATGAATTGATGTGGTCACTGTGTTTGTAAATTGTACCCATACATTTACACAACCTTTGGTTAATCTAAAATAAAAGGATTTCTTTTCATTATTACAGTTTCGATTCATTTTTAAATCCCTCCAAGAAAAAGAGCAATTGAAGTACAAAAAACACTGAAAAAAAGATTAAGAAAAAATAACACCAAAAGAACATAACCCGACTTTTCATTACGAAAAAAAAATTCCTCAAAAATGCCCACCTTCACACTCCTGACATAAAAATAAGCGGCAGATGAGCTTTTTCCAGGATTGTCATCTTCATCGTGCACCTTGAGAAGATAGAGAGAATTACTTATTTAGGAGAAAAGTTTGGCGCCTCCTTTACGCCAAACACCACGTACCGCTAAACCACTCGTTTGGTTGTCAACCGTTGATTCCGGTTCAGGCTCATGGTTAGAGTTGTTAAGATCTAGCAACGCAGCCATTGATCCATCACCAAGTCGTAGTCTGTGAAACTTAGATGTTTTCTTACGTTGTTGCTTGCTGCTTCCAGTCGAATAAGAGTCTATCACTGTTACTTGTGATTTGCCTTTGTCTGACCGGTAGGTATTCTTATCTTTCGATATAGCGTCTTCTTCTTCTGCCTGAGGATTCTGTGAGGATTGCAACCTCCTCACCGTATCCATAAAGTTATCTGCTAATGCTTCTTTTGGATCGGCAATCTTCACAGCTTTCCCTTTGTTTTTCTTTGAACCTTGACTCTCTTTAGCTTGAGACGAGCTCTGCGCAGCAGCCTGACCATTCGCCTTTGTATCATCTTTACTTGAACTGGCATTGTGGGTATCAATGAGCTCCTTCTGCCTTTTAGGGTCAGGGCAGAGTCTAGCAAGATCGATAACTAAGTGAGACAATCCATAACCTTTAACATACTCCAAGTAAGTTCTTGCATCAATCAAACCTTGACGATACTGCCCTGATACATCTTTGAAGGTCATGAATAGTTCTTCATCATGACCAAGTGCAGATCGCATTTTCTCAATCAATGATTTGTTTGCAGACTGTACATCTGGAGGCGGTTGGGAGTTCGAAGATCCCTGTGTACTGGTGGATGATGACTTGTGATTTTGCACAACAGCAGAAGAAACTGGAGGAAAATCCGAATGAGAAGGCAGAAGTGATCTTGAATCAGATAGATTAGGGGCTGAGGATGAGTGAGGAATCCTATTTGCATTACGAGCAGCCTGTGGAACCGCAGAATTTGGAGGTCTAGGCTGTGAAACTCTTGCATGGGACCTCGATTGGGCTGACGAACTAGAGGCCTGTGCAGGTGTGCGACCTATTGCTGGCCATCCCGAAGAAGAGTTGCCACGACCACTTATATTAGATGCTTGTGCTGGGCCTCGGTTAACCGCTGGCCATGCTTGAGAAGGACTCGCAACGGCAGTAGCAGTAGCGGTAGGAGTTCGATTTGTTTGACGTCTAAGACGAGCAGCCAAGGTGTTAGTAGGAACACTCTCCAAGTTCTGTCCAGATCTCGGTTGACCAGCGAGAGGAGGAAAAGCAGATTCTCCAAGTCGTGTAACAACACCACCAGAGCTGCCCACAGCTTGAAGATACCGCGAAGGTGGTTCCATATCGGTAGTTGATAGAGATTCCATTGGTTGAATAAGAGGATCACCATCATCAATGTGCCTGTTGTTGATCTCAGAGAATCCAGGTGGTGCACTTGTGGGCGGAGGTGCAGGCTCTTGTCGAGAATACTCAGACTCGGATAAACGAAGTGCAGCATGAACTGCAAGATTATAATCGTCATCACCAGGCTCACGACGAAATGATCGAGCTCTTCCACGTCGATTCTCTTGGTCATTTCGTCGGTATCGGAAACTCGTTGGTATCTGGAGCGGAATCACAATATTAAACATAAGAAAGCAAACTAGAAGATGAATTAACAAAAGACACCAGGCAAGAGGGTTTGCATGCCTGCAATGCAGCACTTCGCTGAGCCCGAGACATTTTACCCCCATGCTCAATAGCATTATGCCTCTGAAAACACAAATACAAATACTTAACAAAAGTCCATAGAGCAGAAGTAAAAAAGACCAACGAGAAATTCAGCAAAAGTGTTTACTTTCAACTCTGATTCATTTTGGAAAACTATGAACTTCTTTGCAAGGCAAGATTCGTCTTCACAAAGGAAATGGTCACGGCGAAAGTGAAGCTGTAGCAAAAAAGATAAAAATAAAATAGAATCAGTACAGATGCAGCCACAAGTTTAACCTAAGCTCTAATGAAAATGGTTGATGTTTCTACCTCCAGGTCATCATAGTTTTTGTAATATTCATATTGTCCTGGCTGCGGCCTATATTGGATATTGAAGCCAATCAAGTCATTCAGGTTACACACACTCAAAATATAAACGACTCAATTAAAAACTGGCATTACCTTGGGCAAATATGACAGGTGTAATGCTCTGTAGACATGTGAGCATATAATTCATTATCACCGTAGAATGGATTCCTACAGAATTCACACATAGGATGTCCAGCGAAGCCTCCCCTTTCACTCTCACTTCCATCAACTTCAGAGTCACCAGTGTGTATGTGTTGGTTAAGTTGTGCTCTAGTATACAGCTTTTGTTCACATATGAAAATCTGTTCATGTAGAGAGGGAAAAAAAGATGTAAAAAATGTGCAAAAGTTCCAAGAACATAATAGCAAATAAGCATGCACATATGAAGTTTTGAAGCTCCCACCTTACGCCCTTCGAGACATAAACCGCACATATGCAATTTGTGCTTATGATATAGATGACCCTTCAACTGTTCAACACTCTTAATCCGCAAACGATGCCTTGGCCCTGGTCCTCCTTCTTTTGGTTGATCATCCGTCTTGTCACAAACACTGCACGAGAGTCTACACATTGCTTTGATCATCCTGTAATGATCCAAGTCATCAAAGAAAGCCTGAGTGTCTTCATGATACCAGAACCCTCCTCCTACACGACCTTCCTTTGGTGCTGATGGGAAGGTCGAGAAGTCATTGATCGTCCGAGTATAATCACCCAATGCCTGCAATTTTTTTCATGAAACTCCATATAAGCATTAATTGGGAAAACCGCTAAGGTAGAAAAAGTTGAGAATCTTAGGACAAAAATCTTCGCTATTAAGTAACTGAGATAGCGGGTGCTAATCACAAATTCTGGAAAAAATTTAATGTATCAGATGAAAAAGAGCAGCTGCGATATGGCAACAGAGGTGGAATTAAGAAGAGGAAAGCCATAATAACCTTGGTGACGAAGATGAAAGGAGACTCAGTTTTGCAGATACAGCAGCGAGGATCGCCGAGGACAAAACGGAGACGAACGACGCATGTGGAGCAAACTTCTCGGTGACCACAAGATCCGTAGGCAACCCATTCGAGATTATCGGCGCAGACGGCACAGCTGTCATCCATGGCTCGTGCTGAATTTGGGATTGGGATTGAGAAAATTGATTCGAAGCGAGAGAACAAAGAGATGATAAGCAAAGGGATCTAGGGTTCTCAGAGGGGAAGCTAAAAGGCAAGATGGAGAATGCGAAAAGGTCTACGAATCGTATAATTGGGTCAAACAAGTACGAAAAAAAATTTGGGAAAAGCATAATTATTAGTATTAAAGTTTAATTTAATAACACGTTAATGTCATTCGGTGATCACTTGGGGATGTAGCTCATATGGTAGAGCGCTCGCTTTGCATGCGAGAGGCACAGGGTTCGATTCCCTGCATCTCCATTTTAATTTTTTTTTTCGTTCACTTCTAGTGAGCCATGGGCCTAATGAGATTCAGTGAAAGCCCAAAATTAAACGCAATTAATCGTTGGAAAATAGTCGGAAATGAAGGGTAGTTGCGTAATTGAGCTATAGCATAGTCCAAAACCCTAGAATCGTCTTCTCTTTAACCTACCTCTCCTACAAAATCCCCATTCTGATATTTTTTTTTTTCTGCAGCCGAGATACGCTTTTGCCGCAAAGATGCAGATCTTTGTGAAAACCCTAACGGGGAAGACAATAACCCTTGAGGTCGAATCGTCAGACACCATCGACAATGTGAAAGCGAAGATCCAAGACAAGGAAGGAATCCCACCGGACCAGCAGCGATTGATATTCGCCGGAAAACAGCTGGAAGACGGGCGCACACTCGCCGACTACAACATACAGAAGGAGTCGACGCTTCATCTCGTGCTCCGTCTTCGTGGTGGTGCGAAGAAGAGGAAGAAGAAGACGTACACGAAACCGAAGAAAATCAAGCATAAGCATAGGAAGGTGAAGCTCGCTGTTCTCCAATTCTACAAAGTCGATGGATCTGGTAAGGTTCAGCGTCTCAGGAAAGAATGCCCAAACGCAACTTGCGGTGCTGGAACGTTCATGGCTAGTCACTTCGATCGCCATTACTGTGGCAAGTGTGGTCTCACTTACGTCTACCAAAAAGAGGGAGCTGAGGAATGATACCTTAAATCGGTAGATGTATCACTCTCTCTCTCTCTTTCTCTATCTCTTAAGAACTGGTTACGATTTGGTACTTTTATAAGTTTTGTTGGTTGTAATGGATTCGGTGTTAAACATCTTTTGTTCTGGATTTCTTATCTGGAGTGATGATATTTCTAGTTTTAAATTCTGTTAGCCCGTTGATTAATCTTTTATACATTACTTTGAACACCTTCAATCATTTCTTCGTTTAGCAACTTTGGTTTAGCATTTTTTTTTGAGAAATCAACTTTGATTTTAGCATTATCAACTCGTTTAGCAAATATCTTACATTTTGAAATGGACTCTCTGTGTTCACATTTGGACTTTTGAAATGTAACATTTGACACGTAGATTGGTTATGATAGTTGAATTCTAATTTTGATCAGCGATCAAATGCTTTGCCGAAGTTAAAAAAAGTCGGTTCATGTTTGTGCAGCGTGTTTTCTTAGCCTGAATCCTATAATCTAATCTGAAAAAATTTAGACGACCTTTTCTCCATATATTCTATTCATCCGAGTTTTGATGTCGTCTAATTACACAATTTAATCTCTAATTCTTCCCCACTAGTTCATTCAATCTCTAGTATTGTTTTCTCTTCACTAGAGAAGCAACCCCGCACATACTCGTTGGCGATCAACATAAGACCATAATCTTTCCCAATAGCTTTGTTCAAAAGGTCTGGTGTGTAAATTTCATTAGTAATTTCACATTAATGAATCTAATCATTACCATGTCTATTGCATAAAATGCACAGCGAGAGAAAAGGGAAATGTATTTCCTTATTACTCAAAATTGAAAAAAAAAAGTAACATGTAGTCAAGGTCTCTTACAAGTAGAGCCAGAGAATCATTCATATAACGAGACTTGACTTGAGGGAAGAGAGATATCAAAGAATTGGTGGGTACTGTTTCGCCTGTTGTCGCACCTTTCTTTTGTATTCAGTCTTATCCTGCAGCACCGCACAAAACCAAAACCAATCTTAAAACCAAACTTGCTTATTGATTACTACTCAAAATTCCAATTATATAACTGAAACTCAAGAACAAGTGATCCCTACGACACAAGTAACATGCCATATGAAGTAGGCAAAATCAAGTGTGTAATATAGTGATCAAAGACACTATTATGGTCGTCGACAAGTTTAATAAGAATATATCATAAATGCAATAAAGCAACAAAAATACAAAACCTGCACAAAGAGCTGGTATCCTTCCGTCTGTGCAGGGTCATTAGGGTTTGGTTCATCAAGCAAGTCCTGAATACCAACCAAGATCTGCTTCACAGTGATGGCTGGTCTCCATCCCTGTAAGCCACTTTTTTTCTTTAACCACCATAGTTTTAGCTCATAAGAAGAGAACAGTGGGAAGTGCTTACATAATCCTCATTGAGAATTGAGAGGCACACAGTTCCAGAAGGATAGACATTAGGATGAAAGAAACCTTGAGGAAACTTGCACTTTGGAGGTTTGCTTGGGTAGTCCTCCGAAAAATGGAGGGTCAGGGGATAAAATCCACCTTCCCAGTCAGTCTGCAAACAAGAAGCCCATTACTAAACTCACACTCTAACAATTAACTTTAACACCAGCTGCTTGCATCAACACAATCGAATGTTAGAATCTAGTATAGTTTTCCAAAATACAAGACCTATGCATGATCTACTCTAATCTTAATGATCCAAATAGAGCAAGCAATATGTAGGCGGGAGCGAAAAGAGGAAGAAAGCAAGACATATCACAAGAAAATGCAACACTGGATAAAACAAGACTAGTTGCAAAAACCCTAAACTCGAGATCAAAGCAACCCATGAAATTGAATTGAGTATAGAGTCTTACCCCAGATTTGCCAGGGATGATACACTGCCAAACCATTAGGTTATTTGTTCCATCAGACGAAGTCTCCGGCTTGGCAACGAAAGCCTAAAACAGAGGAAACAGATTTGATTTGAATTATAGAAAGAAGGAGGAAGAAGAAAAGGGCAAAAGGAGGAGAAGAAGATGAACATACGTGGGGATGGTTCTTACGCCACGCTTTCCGCTCCTCTGTGAGTCGACCACGTGCGATTCCACCGGACATGACTTCGGTCTGCTTCCTTTGCTTCGATCTCCAATTTCCAATTCCAAAATCCAATGACCCGACTACGCTTACTTCACACCCGATTTAGTCTTTTCTCTATCATTCTTCTTCGTCGGCTTTTGCGTTTATACTGTTTTTTTTTTTCTTTTTGCTTATTTATTAAGATTAATATTAAACTCTTCCCTTTTTTGGTCAATAATTATTGAGAAAAATTCACATATATACATTACTTGTGACTTTTTTTTTTCCTTACATAATATTGGCGGCTGAAAGTTAAGAGCTTTTGACAAAAACAAAAAATAAGTTAAGAGTTTCGCACCTGAAAAAAAAAAGAAAAGAAAAACAAAAAAAATTTGGTTGATGATGGATGGACGGTGGCCAAAGTATTCCCCAATAGGAATATTTTTTGTGTTATTTAAAGATGGAAATGAACCGTAGATAATAATTTCGACTACTGATTAAAAAAACAACAAATATGAGATCAAGAATTACAGGGACGGTTTTTCTTTCATTTTTGATTTTTCTCACTATACACACAAAACAATCAACAGCTTTTACACAAAATTGTAATCCCACATATATAGACCAAAGCACACAACATATACAATACATATACACAAGAGTTATCTCAACAGTGTCTTTCTTATCAGCTGCTTACATTCAAAAGCAGCGTGAGAGAGAAGAGATTATTCGTCATCATCAAGGGCCAAGGGGTTTCACCAAGCACATACAAACAATAGCTTCAGCTATCCAACAGATTCCTCAAGCTACGGAAAGCCTCCGGCGTAAGGCTACAACACCGTTTCTTCTCCAACGGGACCACTGTCTCCTCCTCTTTGTCCACCGTCACAAAACATACCACAACCGCCGTTAAGTTATCAAACGTGTTCAGCCTCAGTGCCTCCATCACAAGCTCTCTTGCACTTCTCGTCGGATCATCGTGTCGGTTTAAGCCGCGCTTCACGATGCTAACCGCTTCTTGGCTTGTCAAGACATCCCAAATCCCATCGCACCCGATTACAAGAAACTCGTCGTCCTCGGTTAGAGTTATCTGCTTGATTTCAGGTTCTGAAATCAGTGGAGACTTAGAGCCGTGTGGTCGTTTCATGTCCCAGTCGCCGAGAGCCCTGGTTACAGACAACTCTCCGTTTAGGTAACCGTCCTCAATGATACCGCCAGACTCTTCTACTCTTATTCTCTCCGGTAGATTGATCGGTCTATGGTCATGAGACATCTCTATCGCTTTGCCTTTTCTGCAAAGTACCGCTCTGCAGTCTCCAGCATTTGCAACCATTAAGAGTCTGCCACAAGGACAATAATCAAAGTAAATCACAGTTAAACAACCATATAACTGCAGAATCTAACCATATTTTCCAATACTATATGCGAGAGCTCTCTCGAGTTAGATAGAAAACGAAAGAACAAAATTTAGAAAACACGCGTACCTTCCGGAAATAAGAGCAGCAAGAGCAGTGGTGCCAGAAGAAGAGCTAATGCTGCAATCCTCTGCCAAAGCAAGATCAGCTTGGAGAAACGCATTTCTCAACGAACTCTTAACTTCTTCAACATAAACACTATTCACTTCCGTTGTCTGTGGGAACTTATCATCTTCAAAGAAAAGCCTAATGGCATTTTGCCGCACATACGTTGCTGCTTCTGATCCTCCATGACCATCAAAAACCTAAATAGGAAGTCAAGTCAGGTTCTTCTATCTTTAAAACAACATTCGATTTTTTAAGGAAGCAACGATGCATTACCGCATAGAAAGCACTTGGCTTTGGCAATTCAAAAAGACACCCAACTTGGGAGGATAGATCATCTACGCAAATGTGTTCGTCTTCCATGAATCTCTTTGGTCCTATATCAGCGTAGCTTCCAGACCGGATGGTTGGAACATAAACCGAGACACTAGAATCGCAATCATCCTCCTGCTTTAGACCCTACAAACGTATACACGTTATTGAAAAAATAAATCAAATTTCAGTCATTGTCCTGTAAACAATCAACTATAGTCCCGATTCTTCAATCAAAGGAAATGCAAGTCGAGAAAGGCTAGAACTCATGCTTAATTGAGAAAATCAATAAATTGAACACAAGTAGTGAAGACAAGACATATTAACAAACACAATAACTACAGATAAGGGTTCTTTAGAAAAGTAGTTGCATTTAGTTCTGAAAGTCACCAGCTTTAAAGTCGGTTAATTTGCCTAGTTTCGGACAACAAGCATCTAATATCTGCTACAACACGCAACCATAAATGAACCTGAGAAATCTAAAAGATCATTTCGGAAGTGTTCCAGATCGTTTCGTTTCCTATAAAGTCATCTTAATACCAACTTAAGAATCACCTTGATACCAAATCAATTCGGTTAAATTCCTAATTATAGACGATTAGTATTCAGAGCCAGAGAACCTTCAATTCTCTTTTCACTAGGTAAACCCGTAAAGAGACCAGAAAGAAATGAAAAATCTAATCTTTAACATGTCTGAAAGCTTAATACTTACCACCGGAGAAGGCAACAAAGCGCCAGAAACCGACGCCGACGATCGACGAATACCCAATTTCGGAGAAGAAACTGGAGATTTGACGGCGGAAGAAACTCCATCAATATCCAGAACCACCGGCAAACTCTGTTGAAATACAACCTCTGCTTCTGCTACCATCTCTTTCTTCACAATCAAATTTCGCGTTCACTTTTACAGCAACTATAAGTTACAACCAGATCGATCCTTTGGAACTTTGTACTCTTTAATCACCGCCTTTTTTGTTTGATTTTTCTACCAAAATCCGTTCACTTGTTTTCAAATTAAATTTGACAATTTCGAAGTTGGCGTATTTGTTTTTATTTTCCTCTCGCGATGGCTTCCTCTGTTTTGTATATATAAGATTAAAGAAAGACGAAATTGTGGGTGACTGGGTAACCGGTGAATGCAGCGGACACGTGGCGGTCGTATAGCGAATCAGAGATCTTATGTGGATTGTTATCGGTGTTTAGTTTGTGGATTACACACGGCTAATACTAAGCCCTTTTTGATGATACGTGTCATAGGTGGAGTTTCAGCTTTGACGCGCGTGTACCCTTAAACGACGTCGGAATTCGAAACACCCTCCCTTTTCAACTTACCAACTACCGAGGACTTCCTCGGAAATAACGGGGAGATTTCTGTAATAATATAAAATAGTATGGGTAGTTTAGGAAATTAAAGGATTTTGTCGACTAGAATCTCAAAAGGTTTATCCCTGTCCACACCTGCGTTTTCACGATATTACCCCCACTAAAGAAGATTAATCTGGACCGTTTAAGCCACCAAGGTGACCGTGGATTGGTCATGCCACATCATCAGTATTTTTTTCCGATGGTATTTAATTTTCATCTTTGTCACGAATAATTGACTGGCATTAACCTTTTAAGCGGCAAAGAACCTCTTAATTATTTTGCGGATAACATATCCAGTTTTTTTTTTTGGTTAGTGGCTGATGTATTAGCGAAGAATGCAAGAACAAATATGCAGAGCTTTGTTGTATAATGTTTAATTACGAATGAATTGTTTGACGGTAAAAAGAAAAACCATATCCACGTCGAGTCTTGCTTTTATCCAAAGCCATATTTTTTTCTTCTTCTAAATTTTACTGTTTTAATTTGTAAAGAAAATAAGTGCATTTAAAATAATATAGCAAAGAATCATACAATTTGTTATCCGCCTTTGTTTTGAACAGTATCCGCCTTGTGTATAATAATATTTAAAGTTATTAATTAATCAGCTATTAAAAAAAAAAAGTAATTAAATTTTAACTTTGTGTGTCTGCACGAGAATTTTTTATTTTTAATATAGGTTGTATTAATTTTTTTGTTTAGATATAATAATGTTTAAAATTATTAATTACTCAGCTATTTAAAAAGAAAAAGTAACTAGATTTTAGAAAACTTAAAAATATCTAAATTAATAACTAGTTTATAGAAATTAAATATAAACATAAAATAAAATATTATATTAAAACTTTGGAAGTGTTTGGAAACAATTACTAAAAATGTTTCTGTTTTAATATAATAGATTGATAAATCAAAGCTCTAACGTGTTGTTGAAATGTGAAACGTGTTTCGTGGAAAGTCTGAGAACCAATTAAAAATCTTGATCCAGAACTATGTATTTGTCTTTAGTCCAAAAAATATCTAGCCAATAAAGATTTAACAATTAATCAGCATTACATCAGTAGATATGAGTCGGCAAAATGTTGCTGGTGCCTGGTGGTGCTATGGAAAATTAACATGACAGATTACGTTAGCGCTGCATGATGACAGACGGTATTTAATGGGCCTTCATCACGAAAAGCCCATAAAGCTTTAACTGGTGAATTGTTTGAAACCCGTTGGCTCAGTGGCTTTCTTTCTTGTTTGAAAATTAATATTACCCGTTAATATTTTTGACTTATGACATGTTTGCCTCTTTTAGTAGTACATATAATATAAGTTTACCGGCAGTCGAAAGAGTAAGTAAGATTTTGACAGTGATTCGTATCGAGATCAAGAACAGGAAATGCATACGTAAAACATAGGTTAAAAACGAAAAACTCAAGAAAGCTTTTATTAATCGACTAGTTTTAAACATAATCTCTCGGGTTTTATTAAGCCTCCATAATCGCTATTCTCACTTCGACGGTGATGACGATGACGGGTTCAAAGGGCTCGGCTTTGGACTATTTTTCCCTTTTCCGGCGAGCCTAGGACTCATCTCACCTCTCCTTTCATTCACTCTAGGACTAAACACTTGAGACAGATTCCGATTAAAACCAGGCGTTGAAGTCGAACTAGTGACTTTAGGGCTACATGTGTGTCTAAATTCTCCTCTACTTCTTGTAATATACTCATCAAGAATCTCAGAATCACATGGATATGAAGCTGTTGATCCCATCTCAGCTTCCTGCAAAATCGAAATTCTGTTAACAAGAAATCTAAGAAACCAAAGAAAAATTGATTTTGATTGAATCTAGCAATGGAGTCTTTACCGGTACTGCGAGGTTGAATGGTAAAGCGGGTGCTTCTTCATACTCTGCTGCGTCTAAGTCCTGAAGATGAGCACTTTTGAAGAATCTTGGAAGGATATATTGCCTTACAGGTACTAGAAACATGATCATTAGAGGGAACATAACTCCAGCGAGTGGGATCCATGTGAGACCAAAGCAGATTAGAAGATAAGTTGTTTGGAAAATAGTGAACATTGCAATCGTTTTGAATGGAACAGTTTCCACGAATGTCGCGTGGTTGTCTTCAAGGACCCTGCAAATTTGGCAAGTACTTGAGTAATGGGTCTTGAGAGGGTAAAATAAGATAAAAACAAAAAAAAAAATTTAACACTTTACTTGAATCGACGACTTGGGGCTGTGAAGAGAAGTAAGATTCTTTCCCAGAATTGGTTTCCAGGTAAGCTTTCGATGGCCATGAAGGCGAAATAGCCCCAAAGGACTGATGTAGGGATCATTTTAAGGAGAGGCATGGCTGCAACACATCCTCCAACCATTAGTGCCTGAAGCAAGTTGCTTACTCTCTGTTCTTTGACTTCAATTGGCAATAAATCATCGATTTCTTTCTCGATATCAAACAGAGTTTCATCAACTGGAGCATCGAGATTTCCTGTGAATGTTGTCGCTTGTATTGTTGATTCTTTCAGCTCTTTCAGACCCTACGAAACAGATAATGTATCCTCAATTTAGCCTCAAACTATGTTAGTTCCATTGTTACATTGAGAAGATTCTTTACCTGAGGCTGCTGATAGACTAATGGAGTCTGCATTTGATTATAAACCTCTTGCATGTTACCATACAACTGTCCTAAACTCGCATTCTGCTTAATGCTTCTCCGTGCAGTTGCAACTAGTCTGTTCCGAAGCAGCTGTGTAAAAAGAGCAAACAACAAGCTAAATTGCACGTCCTGAAGAAAAACATAAGTGTTGCGGGTAGAGTACCTGATATTTTAGTGTTGCCAGGCTCTTGGTATGCATTGGTGATTGAGGTATGACTCCATTTGATGGAGGGATTCCAAGTAGACCACATATTAAGGTCTGAAAATGGCGGAGCTATTAGTAGATGGAGCACAAGAAGAAAAGAAGAAATCAATTGGTTCCTGCAAAATCTTACCAAAAAACCAAGAAGAAGCAGATCATAGTGGTAAGAAGATGGTTTTCTCAAATTGAATTCTTTCTGCTGTGCAAGCTGCGATGCTACACTGTGGTCGAAGTAGTAAAGAACTGCAATCATTGTTGCAGGAATAAAAGCTCCAATAATGTATACAATTGGAACTTCAAGCATCTCCTGAAATTTAAGAGTCACTAGGCATTAGTCACTTGTTCATCTTGGATTTGTGAGGAGATCTAAGGTAAAAGACACACCTTTACGACGGTCCAATTCTCATAAGCACCAGGGGACCAAGGATTTGGGCTAAAAAGTCGCCGGGGAATTCCTTTCGGAACATCTCCTGTTGGGATGTAGGAGACACCGGTCCAAACAAGAACCATGAGTGGGACACCATAGTCAGCTATTAAGCTTCTAAGCCAGCCTGTTTCAAGAATAATGTTTTAAAGAAGGGAATTAGGTTTCTTCAAGAACAAGGAAGCATTGACTGAGATCTCCCCACTTGTAAGCGCATAACTGATTATTGATTGGTCAAGATCCCTTGAATACGGAGATTCCAGCTCATAAGATGAAAAAATAAAAAAATAAAAATTGCAGTTGACTAACTATACTTCGATACCTGTTCCATATCTCCAGGATCTGGCTTTTCTACTTCTAAGTGCAGTTATAAGTAGACCAAAGGAGAGAACTAAAGCAAACATCCCATTTGCAAATCTCCAGGAAGGTAAAAACTCCAGAAGTTTCAGATTTTCTCTCTCAGGGGAGCGAAATTCATCAACTAATCCCTGGATATATATGATAATCAAAGCATTAGAGGCAAATAAAATCCAATTTCTAAGTATCGAAAAAATCGCAAATCTTCTTACTTTGATGGCTTCTTGCATGAATAGCATAGCTATAAGAAGTCCAAACAATTCTCCAGCTACTCTGGTGAATCTGTTGATTATTGAACAAGCTCCACATATAGCCAACACGAACAAAATTAACGAAGTCCAGACACAAACCCTGCACATGTTTGACTAGATTAACGTCTGATATTTTACAAGATTTAACAATGAATTTAGAAGAGAATTAAATTACCATCCAGACCAAGCCAAGAACAAATTGCGCCCCAGCTCAGGTCTCCCTTTCGCAAAGTTAAACATGAATGTGTACATAATTACAGTTGGCTCCGCAACTCCGAGTATAAGCAGAGGCTGGCCTCCGATAATCGAGTGAATGATTCCGCAAATGGCTGTAGATGCCAGTGTCTGAACAGCTGTAAGAACTCCATCTGAAAATTACATAATCCGATTCAAGTTGCAATTTTTGATAACATTCATAAAGCTCATAACTTTATTTTTAGAGGAGGAGATCTAGTAGTACCGGTGCTTCGTTCCAATTGTTCCCCGAATGAAATAACAGGAATGGCAGATGCAAAGAATATGTATGTGGTGGGAGCCAGAATCCTACAGAATTAGTAAGTTTTAGATATGTGAATAATTCACAAAAACAGAGAAACTTCGACGGGAAAAAAAAAACGAACAAGGTGACCAATTTTAGTACCTAAATCCAGCTTTGAATCCTCCGGTCCAATCTTGTTTGTAGCACGTTAACCTTCCTTTAAGATCATTCTTGATACCTTCAAACGGAACGAATGTCTCTTCCATGGTGGCTGGCTACTCTCTGTAAAATCCACTCTGTTTCTAAGTTCCTCTGTTTTTTTCTGTCAGACAAATCGTCAAACACTTGGAGAGCCTTCTACAACACAAGCAGACACCCGGTTATGGGGGCAGAAACGAAGAGGAGAACTACTTGAAATCGAACAAACCCATATTACAGAACATTCTCAATACAAGTTCAGGGAAGAGAAGAAAAATGGAGAAAAAAAAACAGATAAGAAGACTCAGAAGAAAGGAATCCA